TTATCCACCTGTGTAACAGTTCTTTCCAACTTTTTAATATTCTTGGAAAATACCCTAACACAATTATTTTCCACAAATCCAGAAATCCTCCATTCTATCAAAGCTACCAAATTTCAAAACAAGTACAACCAGTCTTGTATTAGATTTCTATAATTAAAAAACCGAAACAAAACAAGATAGGCCTATATGTCCAGGCTTGTAGAATTTTTCTCAACCGTAAACGCTCTACAATGCATTAACAATATAAACTAGATAACAAGGTTCAAAGCAATTCACGTTGCTAATACTGCGTCTTACAAAAACGACACCATTTTAAACCAGTCAAGCAAGTGCTGAGAGATACTCCCATCAAGTCTCGCCAACAAACCCTCAGTTGCAATCACATTTTTTTTTAGTTATACTAAATGGCATCACCCTAATCTTAAATAATACAGAATGGTTCCTGCCAACTACCCCAATTTACATCAGGTGATCTCTCTGGGAATCCAGGAGCCAAAGGAGGTTTTAGGGTCTAGAAATCTTTCCTGACGAGCCTGCAACTCTCAGTACACAAATCCCAGAATACGGTTTAGCGCTGAATAACCCGGAATAACCCTCAATCAAGTCACTCAGGTTTTTCACTATAAAGCGCACACTGGTGGCACACATAGATCCCATCCACTTACCATCGGCAACTAAGCTTCTCTGCACTAGAGTCCATCCCTTCACTAACCTGTAGATCCTAAAAGCTCCTCCCACCCATTTCACGTGGCTGCAAACTAGCACGTCCAGCCTTCACCAAAGAAACTCAAATTCACTCTCTATCAAAAGCACCCCCAGACCACATCCCATTGGACCTTCTCCTCCTCCAGCGCTGGAGGCTGTCCTCCAAGGGGTACCCTCGAGGGTAAGCCCTGCCCCAGCGTTGGGCCTTGGAATCATTTCAACTACAACCCCCTCCATCTTCAGGCCACGAATTCGGCCAGTTAAGACTTCCTCCCTAGTCTTACAGGGCTGTACCGACTACAACTTCCTCCCCACAGGTGTGTCCTAACTATACTGTTTTCTGGTAAGCCACAGGGCCTCCTTTCCACTTCGGCTGGAGGGAGTGTCCTCACTGCGATCTCCTCACTTTGGAGCCGAGATGTAGTTATAATCTCGGCCCCCTCTGGGGTCATAGAAAATCTTGCTCACTCGGAACACAGGTGTGGTTTCACTGCAGTCCCCGTTAGTTCGCAGGCCGCTGGGCCACCCAGCTCTGGCCTCCTCCCTCTCAGACCACGGGGGCGTCCTCGCTATAGCCTCGTCCCCACTTCGGTATGCAGGCTCATCTCTCTCGCGTCCTTCTTGCACACACTCAGGCCTCAGAGGCGCAAGTGGCGCCCCAGGGCCCCCCGCAGCCGTGCCCGACCCTTTTGTGTGGGGCGCTCGCTGCCGCGGGCTCGGAGGCCTCCGAAGGCCCCGCCCCGGGCCACCAAGGGGCGGCTCGAGCCCCGCACAGCCCCGCCCGTTCCGGGGCTGCGGGAGTCTTACCGGGGAGTGCTGCGCGGCACCCGAACCCAGACCCGAGTTACCCCCCGCGCGAGTGCCTCCGCCCCGCGGCCGACAGCCCCTGCGCGAACGGCTTTCCGGAGCCTACAGCAGCCCAGCCACCACCACCTTTGCCGCTTCACAAAATGGCCGCCAGCCCGCTCCGCCGGTCCGCGTTCCAGAAGGGGCGGGGCGAGGTGGTTGACGTCACGGACGAGATGGCGCAAGCGCACTGAGGGTTTCGGGCAATCTCCCGGAATTTACCGGTGTACGTCGGGAGAAGAGCTGAGTCTGTGCGGCTTTTGCGCTTTAGCCAGACGTTAGGAGAGGGACACTAGTTGTGGGATGGGTATAGTATCTGGATCCGCCCCTCACTGCGGGACTCTGTGCAAATTGCTTCACTTCTTTAAGCCTTTGCGAAAGGAGGGAAATATATTGTACCTACCTTGCATGGTTATTTTGAGAATTAACCATAAAGTGATGTTTAGTTTTATTGATTCCGACAGAAGAACCAAACCTGACTTTTTCCATTTAAAAATTTCAATCAGGGCCTACTTGTGTGGCTCAGGTGATTAGGCATCGTCTTGCAGAGCCAAGGGTCGCTGATTGGATTCCTGGTCAGGGCACATACCTGGGTTGTGGTTCCGTATGGTAGCGGCGTGTGCCAGAGGTAACTAATCCATGTTTCTCACATCATGTTTCCCTCTCTCCCTCCCTTTCCCTCTTCCCAAAAATATAATCTTTTTTTTTTTACTTCTTTCTCCTTCCTCTTTTTATTTTTTAAAAGATTTTATTTATTTTTTAGAGAGGGAAGGAAGGGAGAGAGAGAAATATCAATGTGTGGTTGCTGGGGGCTGTGGCCTGCAACCCAGGCATGTGCCCTGACTGGGAATCGAACCTGGGACACTTTGGCTCGCAGCCCACGCTCAACCCACTGAGCTACGCCATCCAGGCTCTTCCCCTTCTTTCTAAAAGTGAATAAATAAAGTTTTTAAAAGAAAAAATTAGCCCTGGCTGGCATAGCTCAATGGATTGAGCTCGGGCTGCGAACCAAAGTGTCGCAGGTTCGATTCCCAGCTAGGGTACATGCCTGGGTTGCAGGCCATAACCCCCAGCAACCGCACATTGATTTCTCTCTCTCTCTATCTCCCTCCCTTCCTTCTCTAAAAATAAATAAATAAAATCTTTAAATAAAAAGAAAAAATTAAAAAAAAATCAGAGGCCCTGACCAGTATAGCTCAGTTGTTTGGGCATTGTCCAGTAAAGAAAAAGGTCCCATTGGATTCACTGTCAAGGCACATGCCTGGGTTGAGCTTTGGTCCTGATTGGGGTGGTACAAGAAGCAACCAATTGATGCTTCACTCACATAACAGTTTCTCTCCCTCTCATTCTCCCTTCCTTACTCTTTCTCTAAAAATTAATGAATCAATGAGTTAATTAATTAAAAAATACCAGGGACCAAATTCCCACAACTCTAACAAGCTTTTGGGAAGATTTGTTTGGCAGACTTTCCTGGTGCTAGCCCGGTGTGCCAAAACCAGCAAATTAAAAAAACAGGCCACACATTTTGTTTTTTTAATCCTCAGCCAAGGACATGTTTTTTATTGATTTTAGCGAGAAAGGAAGTGAGGGGGGCAGAGAGAGAAATCGGTGTGAGAGAATAACATCAATTGGTTGCCTCCTAAACACACCCAGACCAGGAACACAACCCAAACCCTAGCTATACACCCTGACTGAGAATCAAACCCACAACCTTTGGGTGTATGGGAGGATGCTCCAACCAACTGAGCCACTAGGCCAGAGTGGGAGCCACACTTTTAAACCAAATGTATATTTTATTATATATACTCTTTGTAGGTATAATATAGTACATTTAAAAAAACCCCTACTAAATGCAATGTAGTATCTTAGTTGGATCCTAGAACAGAGAAAGACATTAGTGGGAAAACCTTTGAAATCTGAATAAAATCTGAGGTTTAGTTAATATTAATGTGCAGATGTTAATCTCTCAGTTTTAACAAATGTACCAAAGATGTTAAGTGAGGGGAAGTTGGGTGATGGATATCTAACTCTGTTTGCAACCTTTTGCTAAATCTAAAATTATTTAAAATACAGGCCTGACAGGGTAGTTCAGTTGGTTATAGTGTCACCCAATATAGCAAAGTTGCAGGTTTGATCCTCAGTCAGATCACATATAAGAGCAACCAATGACTGCATAAGTAAGTGGAAAAACAAATTGATGTTCCTCTTTCTCTCATCGATAAATTAAAAAAATAAATAATAGCCCTGACTGGTGTGGCTCAATAGGTTGAGTATCAGCCTGCGAACTGAAGGTCACCAATTTGATTCCCATTCAGGGCACATACCTGGGTTGCGTGGGCCAGGTCCCCAGCTGGGGGTGTGCAAGAGGCAACCAATCTATATATCTCTCACATATCAGTGTTTCTCTCCTTGTCTTTCTCCCTTTCTGTCTCTCTAAAAATAAATAAATAAGCCCTGGTTGGTGTGGCTCAGTGGATTGAGTGCCAGCCTGTGAATCAAAGGGTCACCAGTTTGATTCCCAGTCAGGGCACATGCCTGCGTTGCGGGCCAGGTCTCCAGGGGGGCCATGAGAGAGTCAACCACACATTGATGTTTCTCTCCCTCTCTTTCTCCTTCCCTTCCCCTCTGTCTAAACACAAATAACATCTTTAAAAAAATAAAAATAACAAAGTAAAAATAAATAAAATATTTTAAAATAAATACGTAAATCAAATTATTCAAAACTTAAAATTTTAAAAACGTCTGTAATTTCATCTCTTTCTCCTATCTATCTGCATTCACCATACTTTAGCTTAGTGGCTTTCAAACTTTTGACCACCACTCACATAAGAAAATACATTTCCAACTTGGTACATGCATGCAAATATATAACTAAAATATTTAATATATGTGTGATGTAGTCTAATTTATTTCACTCTCACTTGTATGTGTGCTGGTAACTACCCACCTGTGGTTTCGGATCCACAAATGGAAAACTCGACACTGGCTGCACTGGCCTTGTACTGGTTTCTCAAATATGCTGTGCTTTTTCATACCTCAGGCCCTTTGCTTTTGCTGCTGTTTCTCATCCTTCACTCATTCCTAGCTCTATCCATGACTGGAAATCACATTTTTGCTTAACTAACACCTCCTCAGAAAAACTCTCATAGTATCGCCAGCATAGTAGTTTCTCCCCATTATCCCCTTTTACCACTCCAATTCTGTCAAAGCACTCATCACAACCTATAATATCCTTATTTGTTTACTCCTTATTTTCTGTCTTTCCACATGAGGGCAAGGTCCTTTTTGGTCCTGTTCTCCAGTGTCCAGAACAATATCAGGTTCCTGACAGGCACTCAAATACTTGCTGAAAGAAGAGATATGGAAATCAAATGTAGTAGTAGTCTGCTCCACAATTCCCAACACATACTGAAATTTTCCCTGGGCTTCTCATAAAGTCACAGAGTAAATGGAAGAATGTGATTTTATTTCTTCAATCTGCAAATTAACAAACTTTTAAAAAGAAACAAATTTTTAGAATAATAGGTAGAATTATACAGACATTTCTCACTCCACTAGGTCAAAAGAAAAGTACACAAGGACAGAAAGACACACTTTGTAAGATCTGTTCAGTCTACAATCAATATGAAGAGGTGGCCTTCGGAGCCACGGAAAAGATTAAAATCTAGTTGATTACACTTGTTCCTGAAGGAATCACTTGCTAGTAGCTGTACGTAACAACTCAAGTGTCCATGTATAGCACTGGGGTCCCTGAACAAAGAGCCTTCTTTCAGTTCTGGTTCTCCCCACCAAGGATACAGACATGTCCAGCAGCGATAGTGTAACAGATGTCCCTCTTGTTTCAGGGTGAGATATACACTCATATCAGAGCAGAGAAGGACTCCTGAGACCCCAGAAAGATAGTATCCTGTGTTTCTGTCTTGGAGATGAGCTGATGCTGAAGTCAACTGGGTTATATCAATTCTGGTTTGAACATGAAACACCCACTGGGTGTAACAAGGTGCTGGGCTGTGCATGGGTTGATGAGGCAGGAGCAGCCAGGCCAGCACATAGTCAGAAGCCCTCTCTTCTAGTGTTGGGTCCACTTGATGCTCTTAAGGTCAATGCCATCCTGCACCATCTCCCAGAGAGGGCTGCCAAAGAGAAGAGGTATTGGATGAGTGATGGCTTAAGAGAAGAAGTTGCCAACATTGGCTCCCAGGCCAAGAATCCTATATTAATGAGAGTTTTCCTATACTTAATCTACAACTCACTAATTTTGTATTGATATTGCTACAATGACAACTATTAATACTATCAGTAACAATAATGAAAAACATCTAAATGTATGTACTTCTTTAGTTTATAAAAACATTTTTTCAGCCTTGGCTGGTGTGGCTCAGTGGACTGAGCTGGCCTGCAAACCACAGGGTTGCCGGTTTGATTCCTGGTCAGGGCACATGCCTGGGTTGTGGTCCAGGTCCCTAGTAGCAGGTGTGCAAGAGGCAAACACACATTGATGTTTCTCTCCCTCTCTTTCTCCCTCCCCTCCCTGCTCTAAAAATCTTAAAAAAAAACACATTTTTTCATATTCTGAAAACTAGTAGCTGAGGAGATCCAGTTTCCTGCTTTGTGGAACTCCTAAAACCTAAAATCCAGGTAACTTTGGTTTCCAGCTGTGTGACTCAAGAGCATGAGGACAACAGAGAAGCCAGCACTGCAATCTCTTGCAAAGGGTCCCTGGTGCAACAGTGCAGACCTCATCTCTCGAAGACGCTTCACGTGGTGAATGCACTTTTCAGCTGTGTAGTCCACTTCCTCCTCTGTAGTGAAACGGCCAATGCCAAACCTGAAAAAGGCGCAGGAGAAGAGCGCTGCATCAGAGCTCTGGCACGGAGGTAAATTCATTCAGCAAATACTCAGTGAGGCTCTACTCCACAAAGAACATGGAGAGAACATGGCCCTTCCCCTCTAGATCAGAGATCCTCAGCATTTCTATGGTTTGTGGACCAGCTACACCAGAATCACCTGAGACGTTTCCTACTCCTTCAGACCTAGTGAATCAGAATCTCTGAGTGAGGGACTCTGAAATCTTCATCTTACACAAACTTCCCAGGTGATATTCAATGACATCTGAAAATCACTGCTCTAAAAACTTTCATGAAGAATTAAGAAAGAATAAGGAGCCCTCGATGGTGTAGCTCAGTGAACTGAGTGTGGGCCTGCAAACCAAAGGGTTGCCGGTTCGATTCCCAGTCAGAGCACATGCCTGGGTTGTGGGCCAGGCCCTCAGTAGGAGACACTCGAGAGGCAACCACACATGGTTGTTTTTCTCCCTCTCCCCCTTCCTTTCCCTCTGTCTAAACTAAATAAATAAATTCTTAAAAGAAAGAATAAGGAAAACTAGATTGAGGAACACTATAACAGGAGGTGAAATACACAAAAGAAGATGCACCTCAACAGACTGACCTGATAGAAGAGTGAGCTAAATCCTCATCAGTGCCGATTGCTCGAAGGACGTATGAGGGCTCCAGGGATGCAGAGGTGCAGGCACTGAGGAGAAAGACACAGAGCCCTGCTCAGTTCATCATCAACATCTGCTTTTAGCCCCAAACCTCAGGCTTGCTCCTACCCCTCAGGTCCCTGAATTTGTGCCATGGAGACAAAAGAGATATTCTCATTTGTTGGAGCTAAAGGGCCTGATGCTACCTGCACCTTCTGGGATATGAATCTAGCTTACCTGGCCCACAGGAAGGATAAACGCCTTGAGCAAGGATACTGCCGAAGCATGACACTGCATGGGCTGGTCTGACAGCAAGAGGCAGCAGAACACGTGCTCACTCCCCTATGACTGCATACACCATACTGTACCAGCCTAAAGGACAGCTAAACCCTTGGTGGCCTTTGAAGCATACTTCAATTCTAGAAGGCCTGTCACAGCACTGCTAATACAATATTAAAACAGGTACATGCAACTTCTGGGTCAACAAAAGGCACAAAATTCTACCCCAGGAAGCCCTCCTAGAGTGACAAATTTTAGCCTGTGCCCAGCTGGCTAAAAAAACCAGACGCTTACAAAATGACCTTTACTCTTAACCAACAGCTCCTGTGCCTGTCATCTCTACACTAGGAAGCTTAACGATTTACTATGACACTTAGAAGCCAGGCTAATCAGTCCTGCCACAGTCACTGTCTATCTGGTCCAACCTACCTGCCCGAAGATAAGGCAACATCCTTGAGTGCCATCAGCAGACTCTCCCCTTCCACATAGGCGAAGGAGAGGTTGATACAGCCTGGAAGAAAGAACCACTAAGAGAGGAGTCTCAGGCTCTTCCAGAATGGGAATAGAAAGGGCTTGTTCAGACCTGGGTAATGGTGCTCAGGGTCTCCATTCATCACCACATCTGGAAGGCTCTTCATTATCTTCTGTGTCAGCCGCTCTGCTAGCTTGGAAATTCGCTTGTGGTCATACTGAGAAACACGCAAGGGAGAGCTAAGCATAGTGACCATCGACAGCACAGAAACACACAGGATGAGGAGCCCTTCTCCTGTGCCTGAAGTGACCCTGCATCAGACCCACCTCTCATCCTGTGTTACTCATGGACAACACTGTATCCCCAGCAAAATAACTGGACACATGGTTCTAATGACCCCCCAAATAAATGAGCTGATAACTACTGAAAGGGCCTGGATTTTGGAGTCCATAATATCTCTCCAGAACAAGATGCCAGCAGCACCGGGACGAGGATGGTTTTCTTAACCCTCCTCTTCAGGTGGAGCTCTGACTCAGTCATGCCGAGGAGCCTCTAGCAGGAGACCCAGCACAGGGGAAGAAGCTGTGGGAGGGAAGTGCTCTCTCCATACCTCCATCTCTTGCTGCGCCACTTCACACGCAGCCCCCAGCCCCACCACCAAGGGTGTGGGCACCGTCCCAGACCGCATACCCCGCTCCTGCCCCCCTCCACTCTGCAGGGGCTCTACACGCACACGGGGCCGGCGGCGAATGTAGATGGCACCAACCCCTGAGAAACAAAGTTTGTTACAAAAAAGAGAGAAAGAAAAGTGCAGATGAAATAAAATATCACTTTCCAAAAGGGTCAAAATATTCTTTTAACTTTTATGTAGGCTTGAAATTTTTTATAGAGCCTTTATTAATTTTTATCCACTCCAATTTAAGCTCTTTTTTTAAGATTTTATTTATTTATTTTTAGAGAAAGGGGAAGGGAGGGAGAAAGAGAGAGAGAAACATCAATGTGTGGTTGCCTCTCATGTGGCCCACAATGGGGACCTGGCCCACAACCCATGCATGTGTCCTGACTGGGAATTGAACTGGTGACCCTTTGGTTCGCAGCCCACGCTCAATCCACTGAGCTACACCAGCCAGGGCTTGAATTTTTTTTAATAAAAAAAGTTGGGGGAAAAAGAAAAAACAGCAGTAAAAGCATACACAATACTTATCAAAATTATTTAACATCAGGAAGGTAACTACCAGAAGGAGTAAAGGCTCATTTTAAATTTAAAGTAACTCCTTGTCCTGGCAGGGTAGCTCAGTTGGCTAGCATTGTCCCATACACCAAAAAGGTTGTGAGTTTGATCCCTGGTCAGGGCACATACAAGAAACAAGCAATGAATGCATAAATAAGTAGAACAACAAATCAATGTTTTTCTCTCTCTCCCCTCCTCCCTTTCTCTCTGTAAAATTAATAAAATTTAAAAATTTTAAAGATAAAAATAAAGTAGCTCCTGCCCTGGCCAGATCCCTCCATTGGCTGGAGTGTCATCCCATACACCAAAAGGTTGTGGGTTTGATCCTCAGTCAGGGCACAACCTATATTGTGGGTTCGATCTCCAGTTGGGAGCACACACATATATACATATATACATCTTCAATTAAAGACAATAAAGGCAATACTTTAGTTAAAGGTAGAATGGCTGTTGGGCTCTTTAAAATAATAACTCACAGAAATACTCTTTGTGACCTCTGGGAACCTTTAGAAGAAGTCATCTTACATGCTTCCAGGAGCTATCACACCCTTTTCCACAAGGTGTACACTCAGATGACACCCCCTACAGACACAGAGTGTGTACTGGCATTATGAACCCCCACAGGATCTCACCCCAGAGACAGAGGAGGAGCTATTTGTTTTTTTATGGCTACCTCCATACAATAGCAGGCAATAGCATCTTTACAAACTAGGGGTGAAGAGGCAGAATTCTAATTAGAAAACATCCCTAGTCCAAGAACACATGGAATAAACAAATATTCTTGAGAGATGTAACAGGAGCACACAGACCACTAAGTCCAGGAACAAACACCAAGATGCACAACCCACACAATCTTCGTCTAGGCTAAAGCAAGACACAGGAGAATGAAGGACTCAAGGAATATTGCTCTGCAGAGAGGGGAGACAGGACTTAACAGGGACTTAACCCCTGTTCTTCAACCAAATGGATGCCTACATGCTTTCTAAGGATTTTCTAAAGAGAACAGGGAAGAACGGTTTGCTACACTGCAATTATGAAGATCCACAAATAAGCGAGTGTTCCTGGATATTGCTAAATGACACTTGCAGAGTGCTCTCCCTCTTGGCAGCACCCCTCCATGCCTTTCCCACCCCCTCCTCTTCCCCCAAAGCCCATTACCTTCACCTTTCCCTCTTCTAAGCCTTGTCCAAAGGCCCTTTCTTTTGCCTCTGTAACTTGTTTCTCGAGCCTACATAGCCTGGCTGGCTCACTTCTACTACTTCTGTAACTTTCTAAGTAAACTTTCTCTTATAATTTGAAACAAACAAACAAACAAACAAACAAACAAACAAACAAACAAATAAATATATGTGACACTTGCATTCTGCAAGGCACTCTGAATTTACAACTTCGAGAGCAATGGAAGTCCCGAAGGAGTCCAAGGAACACCTGTGAAGGGGCTTACTGGGAAGTGCGGAGCAGAGAGACTGGAGGAGGGGCTGATACCTTTGGGACCATAGATTTTGTGGCCACTGATGCTCATGAGATCAATTTTCATGTCGTTGACATCAAGAGGGATTTTTCCAACAGCCTGGGCTGCATCAGTATGGAAATAGACCTTTCTGGAACTGCAAATCCGCCCTGAGGAAATGACAGAGGGGAAGAACCATAGTGCAAAGTTGGGAGTTCACCTGGCAGTGGTCCCACAATGTACCCTGAGTTCTAGGGTAAAACTGCATCAGACATTAGGCTCTAGCCATAGAAATCATCTTCTCTCTCTCTCTTCAACACTGCTCTTTTAATATATCAGATTAACTTTCATATTCTTTTTGATTTAAAAAGAGGCAGAGATTAGCAGATAGATTTGCTAACATGACTAAGAGGTTACAGGACGAGCCTCTGGCTCTAAGTGAGCATAATAAAGAGATAAAAGTGAAAAAGGTCAAAGAGGAAGAGAAAAAAATAATAAAGGGCTATTTTGTTTGTTTTTTGTTTACTGTACCAACTGCAGAAAAATGAAAAGAACATAAAACGTACTAGACCTGGATTCAAATACTGGCTATGCCATTTACAATGTCTCTTTCCCCAGATTTTCTCACTGCACTCCATGAAGCATTACAGATGCCAGCCCACTCCCACTCCTCAGGTGAATCCCAGTGGTGGGCCAGCATCATGTGAGTATCCGGGATACTCACCTATTTCTACAATGGGCTGCTTCACTCCAATCTCATTGTTCACAGCCATGACTGAGACCAGGCTGGTGTCAGGCTGGATGGCAGCTTCTAGGTCCTAAGAATATCAGGAGTAAGGAGACTGTATACAGTATCGCCACCAAGTAGTCCTCCCCAACTTAGAATGCAGGCAAGCTTAGTCTTGGAAAGGAGCCTTTTGCTACACACCTGTCAGAAAGGTTTACATAAGAATAGTGACAATACAAAAATGCTGGCAAGGATGCAAAGAAACTTGATCACTCATACACTATTTGTGGGAACATAAAATGGTACAGCCACACAGAAAACACTTTGGCAGTTTTAGTTCTTTATAAAATTTATGAACCAAAAGGGGTGCTGTGATAAATCAATGACCAAAAGTAAGTAACTTCACATGGTGACCTGGTCGAAAATTCCTAATTGGACCCTGGCCGGTAGCTCAGATGACTAGAGTATCATCCTGATATGCTAAGGTGACGAATTCAATCTCCAGTCAGGGCACATACAGGAGACAACCAATGAATACACAGATAAGTGGAACAACAAACTGATGTTTCTCTCTCTTCCCAGTTCTCTCTCTAAAAAATCAATTTAAAAATTGTTTTAAGTCAGGGATCTGGAGAAACAAAATGGATTACTGGGTACTTATTTGTAAAAAAAAAAATCCTAACTGCACTGGTGTGGTGGGTACTCATGCCCCAGGCCTAAAACTTCTTTAGCAAAGGGTTTATCTTTGCCTTAAGCAAACCCTGTCCATTGTTCTTGGCCATCTAGGTTAATACATCTTTGAAAAGCCAGAGTAATACTCTTTCCCATACCCCTTAGAGGTGTAACCACCCTCAAAGGAGCACACAATCTTGTTAATTATCCTGTAAACCAATCCTAGAGATTTCCTCATCTTGTAGTCTTCTACCTTCATGTAATTGTCCTTATGTTTCCACCTTAATTCCAAATATACAGGACAGGGTCTTGTCTATAAACTACATCTTAGGATTTATCTAGGGATGCTAGTATCCAAAACCTGGTGGACTAGATGCTTGGACTCATTAACCAAAATGGACACATAAGGACATGGGGCAAAAAGGGAAACATTCATCTAAGAAACTACCCTTCCTCTTTAGAGTGATGAGAGACATCAGTGTAAGGGAGGAAAAGGCCAGAGCTTTGCCATGGTGTGAGCCCCTGGCACCTGGCACACATATCCAGTGGCTCCCACACCAACCAGGAAGCACCAATAAAGCTGAAAAATACATCCTGCCCTGGCTGGCGTAGCTCAGTGGATTGAGCGTGGGCTGCGAACCAAAGCATCGCAGGTTCGATTCCCAGTCAGGGAACATGTCTGGGTTGCAGGCCACAGCCCCCAGCAACCACACATTGATGTTTCTCTCTCTCTCTCTCTCTCTCTCTCTCTCTCTTTCTCCCTCCCTTCCCTCTCTAAAAATAAATAAAATCTTAAAAAAAAAAAGAAAAATACATCCTTGGGGAAAAGGAAGATGGTAAAATAGATGAAAGGGGAATATTGAAAGGACAGTCTGCATTATTTGCTATTGTGACGCCATTTGCTGAGCAGCCCATGCCCTTGTTAAACCTGACTGCCATTTTACTCTCCTGAGCTTATGTCCTCAGGACTGGAAATTACTGGAAAGCAAGAACAGAACATGACTAATGGCCCATCACCCCACCCCCGGAGCCGTAGGCAAAAGATAACACTGGAGCAAACTGCAGCTTATTCAAAACCAGTGTAACCTTCCTTGTGTTTCAATGCCACCAAGAGCCCAGAGGCCACACAACAGCAACCCTGCTGTGTGTAATCCAATAAAAGCTCAAAGCCCCCACTCCTCAGTGCTGTTGTCTCTCTCCACACCATGACCCTCTCCTCTCTTGGAGAGTGAGTAAAAACTTTACTCTCTGCCAGGGGCGTCCAACCTGCAGTCCTAGGGCCACACCCAGCCCAGGAGGGCTATGAATGCAGCCAACATAAAATCGTAAATTTACTTAAAACCTTTTTTTGCTCATCAGTTTTTGTATTTAATGTGTGGCCCAAGACAGCTCTTCTTCCAGTGTGGCCCAGAGACACCAAAAGGTTGGATTCCCCTGCCTACGCTCCCTTCTCTTTGTGAAGTTGCTCACAGCCCACGTCACTGACCACCCTACCAAATATACTCTCAGGTTCTCTGCCAGGCCTACATCTCCAAGCCCCACCGGCATCATTAGCTCTAGTCCTTCCCTCGAGCCTGAGCTGAGGCAGAAGAGGGAGGTTTATAGGCTGAAGCCATGCTCCTCCAAATTTTCCCTCCAGCCAGGAGCCACTCCTACCTTCAGGTCAATGATCCCACTCTTCTTCACTGGGAGGTAGGTGACCTGAAAGCCCTCAGCTTCCAGTGAGCGGCAAGAGTCCAGGACGCATTTGTGTTCTGTCTGTGTGGTGATCAAGTGCTTTTTCCGTGACCTATAAAACCTGGCCACCCCCTATAAATTGGTGGTGGTGGAAGGAAGGAGAATATACTCAGAGAGACAGCAATGATTTTAATCCCATTTGTAAAGGGAGAGTGGGCAAGGGTGGTGAAAGGATACAGCCAGCCCTGTTTGCTATTGCGGCACCACTTGTCTCACAGACCTATGACCTTGTTAAACATGACTGCCATTTTATTCTTCTGAGTTTATGTCCCCAGGGCTAGAAATTAGTGGAAAGCAAAAACAGAACTAACCACTCCCTATAGCCATAGAAGGAAGAAAACATTGGAATAAACTGCAGCTTCCTGTTATAACGCCCCAACTGCCCAGGGACCACAGGACAGCAACCCCCCCACCCAGCCTTTTTAAATCCAATTATAATCCAATAAAAGCCCAAGGCCCTAACCCCTTGGGGCAGGAGTATCTCTTCACACCATGCCCCTCTTCTTTCTTGCATAGTGAATAAGAACTTTACTCTCTATACTTTCTTCTCTTTGTGAATTCTTTCACAGCCTGCATCACCGACCATCCTAACAGGTGGTATGCTCCAACATCAATTCTCTGACACTGACTGGGTGCCCTACAAATCAATTTAATCCTGATGCTAACACCCAGAGTTCATGAAAATCCCAAAGGTTAAGGGGCTCAGTCCCAGAAGACTGCTCCCACTTCAAATGCAAGCCACTAGTCCTGCGTGTCACAAGGCATACTTCTGCCCAGCTGGCTCCAAATTCAGGGCTTCCCACAGCCCTCTGAAGTTCAATAATTCACTAGAATGACTCACAGAACTCACTAAAAGTGCTATGCTTATAATTAGGGTTTTATTATAAAAGAATACAACTCAGGAAAGCCAAATGGAAAGATGCACAGGGTGAGGTCTGGAGTGGGGGGGGGGGCGGGCACAGGCTTCTGTGCTTTCTCCTTGTGGAATCTAGGCATGCTGCCTTCTCAGCACACCCATGAGTTCACCAACCTGGAAGCTTCTCCAAGCCTCGAAGTCCACAGTTTTTATGGGGGTTTCATCATGTGGGCATGATGATTAAATCTTTGGCCACAGGACTGAACTCAATCTCCAGCCCCACAATTCTCCTCAGAGGCTGGATGTTCCAATCCTCTAATCACATTCTTGATCGTTCTGGAGTGACCAGCCTATCCCTTGAAACTAGGGAGGGCCCAATGCCCTGGCTGGGAGCTCAGTTGTTTAGAGAATTATCCCAGATACCCCAAGGTTGTGGGTTCAATCCCTTCTCAGGTATATACAAGAATCAACCAATAAGTCCTGGCGGGTGTGGCTCAGTGGATTGAATACTAGACTGGGAAGCAAGGGGGTTGCTGGTTCTATTCTCAGTCAGGGCATATGCTTGGGTTGCAGGTCCATCCCCAGTGGGGGGCACATGGGAGGCAACCACACATTGATGTTTCTCTCCCTCTCTTTCTCCCTCCCTTCTCCTCTCTATAGAGATAAATAAAATCTAAAAAATAATTAAATAAAAGAATCAACCAATGAATGCATACATGAATGGAACAGCAAATTGATGTCTCTCCCTTTATATTCCCCCTAATCTCTCTCTTTCTAAAATCAATTTTAAAAAGTAAAAAATAAAAAGAAAGAAACTAAGGGCCCATCATGAATCACCTTATTACCATAAACCCAGATATGGCTCAAAGAGGCTTGTTTTGAATCAGAAATGACAATCTTATCATTCAGGAAACTCCAAAAGTTTTTGAAGCTCTGTACCAGGAACAGAGAAAAATACCAAATATATTCATAGGTGGAAAATAGGGAACACACCTATCCTTTCTCCCCAAGCAAAAGCCTCTCTTTTTTATTTCTATTTAAATAGCAAAACATGCAAATATGGTGATACTGATACCCAAAGCTGGCAGTATAGAAGTGAAACTCATACACTTACTGCTTATGGCAGTATTTATGCTATAACTCTTCAGAGAGTTATGCAGAAAGATGTCTTAAAAGATGTATTCACATTCTTTTTTTTTTTACTTTCTTTTTTTTTAAAGATTTTATTTATTTATTTTTAGAGAGATAAGGGAGGGAGATAGAGAGAGAGAGAGAAACATCCATGTGTGGTTGCTGGGGGTTATGGCCTGCAACCCAGGAATGTACCCTGGCTGGGAATCGGACCTGGGACACTTCAGTTCGCAGCCTGCGCTCAATCCACTGAGCTACGCCAGCCAGGGCTTGTATTCACATTCTTTAACTGTGATTCCTCTTTTGGGAGTTTACCTTAAGGAAATATTGCAAAAGATAGATGAAGCCATAGAGACAAAATATGCTTGAGGATTTTACAATCCTCGAGAAACATGGAAAGGTTAAACACACCCAACAAGAGAAGTAATAATAAAATAAATACTAAGTTAGAAAAACACAACTCCATAAACAAGAATATAGTTATATTAAAAATAAAGGAGTTGGGAATGGAAGAACATAGGACATGTTATTAATAGCTACAGAAGAATAAATATGACATGCTACAATTTGTGAAAATATTAAAAGCAAATTTATATATATGTAGTTTTTTTCTGAAACAACACTAAACAGAACTAGTTTAGAATTAACATAATTAACTTCACAGACCAGCACTTGTGGTAAGAATAGGGGAGAAGGACTTACACTTTATGTGAAACTTTTTTATGGAATTAAAAAATCTTATCACAAATGCATGAATTATTTTCTAAAAAATTAAAAAGAAAGAAAATATGAAACCCCATTCTTCCAGACCTTATAATAGAATACTACTTTAAAAGCAGAATATAAAACCAATTAGGCTAAATTTATTTATTTATTATTATTTTTAAAGATTTTATTTCTTTTTAGACAGAAGGGAAGGGTGGGAGGAAGAGAGGGAGAGAAACATCAATGTGTGGTTGCCTCTTGTGCAACTGGGGCCCTGGCCCGCAACCCAGGCATGTGTCCTGACTGGGAATTGAACTAGTGACCCTTTGGTTCTCAGGCTGTCACTCAATCCACTGGGCCACACCAGCCAGGACCCGATTACGCTAAATTTACAACATAAAAACTATATGTTTTTAAAGACAAGGAATATAAAAAGGAAAACACTGAAAAGTTCCCCTTCTCCTATCCCACTTACTCATAGTGTAGAATGCTCTAATAGCAGGTATGTATTTACTCTACCCGTCCAGGAGACTAAGGGGAATTCTGTCACAACTATTCTTAGCAATACTTAATCTACGTTTGGGATCTGTGGAACCCTTCAAAAGAAACATTTTCAAAGTTTGGAAACCATCCTCATTTCTTGGAAGGACCTGGCTCTGTGGTCTCTACAGTCCAAAGAAAGGATGATTTCCTGCTAACAGGATCAGGCAGAATGCTGATGATGCTGGAGCCTGTCCCAGGCCTCCTATGCTGAGGTCCAAAAGAAAGAAGAAATACTGGAAGCAAAGTTGAGAGACAACACTAAGAAGGGGTGAAGCTGGAGTTGAACTAACAACAGCCCACAATTTATCAGAACCAGGGCACTTATACAAGTGATCCTAGTAACCAGGTTCAATCAAAGCCGGTTATGTTCTAAGAAATATATGACTACTGAGAGTGGAATTTTACTTTTGTAAGTACCAGATATCTGTATGTCCCAGGGACAGAGTGATTTCTCCCAGAATGGGTGACCAAATGAATGCCACAGAAACCAATACCTGAAAATGGGGGCATCTAAAGAAACGGGAGGAGCCCTGGCTGGTGTGGCTTGGTGGATTGTGCGCTGGCCTGAGAACTGAGGAGTTGCCAGTTTCATTCCCAGTCAGGGCACGTGCCTGGGTTATGGGCCAGGTTCCCCAGTTGGGGGGGGGGGTGCGAGAGGCAAGTGATTGATGTATCTTTCTCCCGCATCAATGATTATCTCCTCTTTCTGCCTCCCTTCTCCCTCTAAAAATAAAGCAATAAACTCTTTTTTAAAAATAAAGAAATGGGAGAAACTTGCTGCAAACAGATCTGATCAGAAAGAAAAGGGAAGGTGGAAAGGAGGGCAGCTCTGAAATCATATATATAGTGGTGAAGCTGAGAAACATGCTCAATTACAAATGTATTCTGGACTTCACTGTGACTAAATCACTTCATCTCTGAGGTAGCTGCTGTCCCCAAAAATCAAGTGGTTAATGGTCCAAAAACCACTTCCTTTCCTATCCAACTACCTTACTAAATTCAGTTCAATGGGAAAAAAGGGTTAAAGGAAACAAAAAAAATCAGAGTTTGTGTGTGTCCTTTCTTTACAATAGGGTGGGAGTAGATAGCTAGCCCAGATGATAGAAGGACACCATCTCCCAAGTGAAGAAACCAAATATGCCCTTTGGTTCCCTTTTCTTACCTTAATTGCTATATTATTGGATTCAGTAGCACCACTAGTGAAAATGATCTCACGAGGATCTGCCCCAATGAGAGATGCTACTTGCTGCAAACCAAGAAACAGAGAGAAGTAACATCAGTTCCCCAGGAAAGTAGTTAGTTCTAGGATATGGCTAGGACAGAGCTCTGGATCAAGAAAAGCTCCACTGCATTCTACCAACTGCCCAAGAAGTTCTGCGCCCAGTAGGGTCAGGCAAGGATAAATTCAGTTACATCCCAGATCCCAGGTTCTTTTTCAGCCCAATACAAAATAATAATAATAAAAGTGGTGTTTTTAAGAAATCATTATTGATATATATATATTTTTTTGGGGGGGTAGGGTTAATAGACACATCATGGTCAGCATTGTCTCATTTAATTCACCCAATAACCCTAGGAAGTAGGAACTCTTACAATCTTATCTGCAATGTAAGGAAACTTAGGCTTGGAGAAATTAGATAAGAAAATGTGGGAACTAATCAAATGCCTTCAGAGGGACTCCAAGGCATCCTCTCTGGATCTCTTTCTGAAAGAGCCCCAAACCATTTCTACCTCCACCCACACTTACCAAGAAGGAAATGCCTCCCACAGGCCCCTGAATCTTGCCATCAGTACCCCCTAGACTCATCTGTACTAACCTGGCGAGCACGCTCCACGGCTGCCTCACTCTCCCAGCCATAAGCATGTGTCCGGGAGTGTGGGTTCCCATAGTAGTTGACAAGGTAAGGGAGCATGGCATCAAGCACCCGAGGGTCCTGTGCACAACAGAATAGATCAGTCTTTTTGAGCCCATTGTTAACTCAGGTCCCACTCCATTTCCTTGAGATCTCTCCCAGCACACTCCCAAACCTTCAGACACTGTTTAGATCAGGCTGCAAACATTCTTATAGCCCGTCAGATACTAAACAAACATCAACCTAATATGCTCCCACTCCCAATCCATCTTAAATCAGGCTATTCTACCTTCTCCCAGGGTAATCTACAAACATTGTTTTGTCCTGACAGCCATTTCTGCAGGTGTTTCCATTCCTACCAGAAATTGTGATCTACAAGCAGCCAGGACATGACAGAGTCCCTATGTTGGTGAAACCTTGCGTTAATACTCAAGTGTTTATCATGTGCCCAGCTGCTAAAGGCTGATTCATGTCTTTTCATCCATTTACTACTTGCCCAAATTCAGTTACTAAGTTGCAGTCCTGCTAATTCCAAAGCCCATGCTTTTAACTAGTATTATAGTGCCTGCACTGAAGTAATTTGAACAAGATCAATAGCTTGGAAGTAGCTGAGCCATTTCTAGTGGACTATAACTTAAGCCTCCCAATTCCTGGCTCACTGCTTTTCCCAGCACACACTCATCAATGGCTCTTAGTTCTACAAGGATCCAGCCATTTAGGTACATTGTCACGTCTACAATAGAATTCCTAAAAAAAGCATTGGGAAGAGCGGTCCCTCCATCCTTACCAGAGGAGCTGTAGCTTGCACATCCATATACAGAGGTCGCAGCACTGACTCCACCTCCGGAGCAGAGGCTGTATCTGAAGGAACAGCAGACTGGGGAGCATGGTCTAAAACTGACAAAAATATGGAACGGAGGGGCCAAGTGAGAAGGGATGCAACTACGGACACAGAGTATTCAAGACAGCAGAAGGCAAAAGCCGGATGGAGATAAGTTTAAGGAATGTTGGGGTTGAATCTTAATAAAAAAGAAAACAGAGGATTGGAGTAAACTGTGAAAAAAGGTAAGGGACAGAGACAGGGTTCTTAGAAGGGGATGCTGGCACAATATTCAAATTACATTGTTGGGAGTGGAGATGGGTCTGAAAGGACAAGGCCATTTAGAAGGAATGTGGAGACATAGTAGGTAAAATCTCTTTTAACGGTCACTGGCTAAACGACTAGCATCTCTACAAGTTGGCCAGAAGTCTGAAGGCCAAGCCTAGGGCTCTGAGGGTCTGCGGGACAGGATCTGAGGGGATCGCGGCGAAGTCACTAAGAAGGCAAGACCAAGAAAGTCAGAGGGGTGCAGCCAAGGGGAAAGATCAGAGCGTCTGGGTAGCGGGCAAAAGAGGGAGGAGGCTACGCAATATTTCGGATGCGTCAAAGCGCAGAGGAACTAGGTCCGCTCCTTCTGGGAGGGTGGCAGCAACAGGGACATGGGGTCGTACCGCGCAGGCGCAGACCCCGAGTGGGCGCCTCGGGCCCCGGGCCCGGAACTGGGGGTACAGCCGTAGCCACCCGCCTCCAAGCTGTTCGCAGCAGCATCGTCCCGAAGGCACAGCCCCTAGCCCCAAGCGGTTTGCAGTCCTTTGCTGCGGACTCCCGGAAGTACTGTTCAGCGCCCCGGAAGCATTCCTCGGGCCACGAGTGCGCCCCGCCTGTCGTTCCGTGTGAGACGTAGACTTGAGCTACCGAGGCTGCAAGCGAGGTGAGGTGCGGGATCGGGGATCCGAAGGCTAAAAGGGTGATAGAGTTGGGTACCTCTCTGATTTTCCTTCCCGAACTTCCTCGAACCCTTATGCACGCTCCCCACGCCCTTTCCTCCGGCCCCCGCCCGGCTCTCAGGATGGCGGCCAGGCCTGCATTTTTCTTATCTTCGAATCCCGCAGATGCCGGTGGCCGTGGGTCCCTATGGACAGTCCCAGCCAAGTTGCTTCGACCGCGTGAAGATGGGCTTTGTGATGGGTTGCGCCGTGGGCATGGCGGCCGGAGCGCTCTTCGGTACCTTTTCCTGTCTCAGGTGAGGGGCGCGGGTGGTGACCTCTGGGGGGGACTACCGGACCTTCCTGCCCCATTCCTGCAGCCTGAATAGAGCCTTAACTCGTTCCAATCTCCTCACTGTCCTCTGAGCGAGACTGATTTCCTAGCCACTTCAAGTGGTCTGGAAGGACCGGTTGGAATCCTCGGTGCCTGAGAGTAAGAGCTCTGACTCAACCTCCTTTGTGGCGCCTACTCGTTCTGTAAACTTAGGCAAGCTGAGCCTGCGTTTCCTCACGTACGAAATGAGGGCCGTAACTCCTACCTCACAGAGCTGGAAGGACCAAGTCGGAGCACATGTAGCACAGAATCTGGCACATATTAAGTGCTCAGTAAATGGTTTTTACTGCTGTTATTTCCAATTGCAAGTCGCGAAAGATACTTGTTGAGCAGTTTTACTGTACTGTGAACAGGATGGTAGAAATGAAGCAGATAAATCCTACGCCCTAAATGTCACTTGTACATGTAGTAGACTACTATTCCCAATTTTCCAGATTGTAAATTACCATTTACTGAAAATTAGTGTCACTCACTGTGCCACGTGCTGCAATGCTATCGCAACAATTGTGGTGTTTCACATTTTATACCTGACACAGCTTATAAAATGAATCCACAAGAACTTGAAAACATTAGGGAACACTAAGGATCATACATACATAGAGGTAAAACCACAAGAAAATGGTTTCTGTGTACTTGACACTGCATTTGCTGACTCCCAGAAACTAAAGGCAGTCTCAGATCCCAGGTGGGAGGGGATGTCCTGTCAGACTTCTGGAAAGCTCTGTCCATCACTAAAAACACACTCTGGAAAAGGGCAGTTAACTCTGTACAGTATTCCATTGGCGCCATCTTGGTTTCCTCCTCTCTCAGGATTGGAATGCGGGGTCGGGAGCTGATGGGCGGCATCGGGAAAACCATGATGCAGAGTGGCGGCACCTTTGGCACATTCATGGCTATCGGGATGGGCATCCGATGCTAATCAAGGCAATGGTTGCCCACTTCCACCCCGTCCCATCAGTCCCATGTACTATAATAAAAAGACTTTGAGTAGTCTTGGTGTGTTGGAAGCATTTTCTTTTCATTGTCAGCCTATTACATAGCTTGGTTTGAGATTTTGTGAGGCAGATTGTCCTTTTCACTAGACCCGTCTGTATCTGATAAATCCAGTTAGAAAAATTTTCCATGCCTGGAATCTTCCAGATTCTAGTAAACCCCTATTTTCCATCCTTTTAACGTTGATAAATGAGCCTACTTGAAGCTACAAGTATATTCTACTTCTTCAAGGTCACAATGCAGAAGTGGGTTGTTTTTTAATGACATGTTTGTCCAAAAATTTGGCCCAACAGCTGCTGGCTTGCTCAGAAATAATTATCCACCATGAAACAAAACCAAGCCATCAGACACTTTTGTAGCTCAACTAAATCAATCCCAGACTTAAGGATTTTCTTAAAAATGAGAAAGGGAATTCCCAGTCAGGGTACATGCCTGGGTTGCAGGCCATGACCCCCAGCAACCGCACATTGATGTTTCTATCTCCCTCCCTCCCTTCTCTGAAAATAAAATCTTAAAAAAAAGAGGAAGGGAAACATCAGTTGCCTTTTGCATGTGCCCCAACCTGAAATCAAAAACTTCTACCTTATGCTTTGCATGAGGTGCTTGAGTCCACACCCATCAAGGTGATCCCAGATGATTCTGTATAAACTGATTCCCATCCCCCCACAAAGTTCTAATTGACTTGATAGGTAGGGTCTTAGTAATGAGTCAAATGCCCCTTGTCTCCTCACACCAGACCTTCACAGATTTTGTTACAAACTGCATTGCCCAGTTACCAAATTCTAAGGAAATTCATAAGAAACTTTAATGAAATGTTTGGGGGACACAGGACACTTCAGATGCAGCCAAAATCAGGGACACTTCCAGAATAGCAATAGCAGCTACAGATTTTTCAAAGTGGATACTATCTTATCCATTACCAGAAGGATTTAACTCAACTACTTTAGTTTCTCTCCCTTTCTCCTCTAAAAATAAAGAATACACAGAACTCAAATTTTATTGTGGTAGTAACCTACATTGTCACCTTATATAATACATACCAGTGGCATTCTAGCCAGGAAACAGCTGCAGTTGATTGGATCATTTCCCCAGTACACCAAAAGGTTGCCAGTTCTATCCCTGTGGGGGAGTGGAATGGGAGACAACCAATTTATTTTTGTCTCCCTTAACTAACTCTAAAAGAAGTGAACATACACGTGGACACTTTTGCTGACCCTGGAAAGGATGGCAGAACTTGACAGAATCAAGACTTAAGAAAAAATATAGCTATGCACAATTTGGAAAGAAAAACTGATAGTGTCAGTCACCCCAAGAAACAATGCTGTCCAGTGTTCAAAAATAGTTAAGTTTAATCGTGAACTTCTTCAGGTTAAATAACTGAATCAATTAAAGCCAAGCAATTTTAGATTATCCAGCAAGAATTGATAGAAAATTGTGATGCCTCCATATTCAAATGGATTAAGTATCTTGATATCTGAATAAATGTATAAAACTTGTGCCTCAATGATAGATCAATTCCACAGAAAAAGAAATGAGGTCATCGTCATGAGCAACAATGCTCACTCCAAGGTTCAACTTAGACAAAGCTTAATGCAGAGTCCAAGAGTAAATGGTGAAGGATCATTACCCAAGATGAAGCTCAAAATACCATAATAAAGTAACAAATGCAATCAAATCAATGTGGGAAATCACTTTGAACCTATACCATTTTTTGTTCAGTCTTTACTTTTAAATAATAAAGCATATTTTCAAAGATGCCCCCCAAAACCACAGAACACTTAAGGCCATTAAGACACATAATGACTTTGTTTGGTTTTCTTTTTTTGTAAATCCCTGTTTTGATACATCACCCTAAATAAATAAGCAAAGTGCCAAGAGAGAGTAACAAACAGGAATGTACAGAGACACTTGAGGGTATGACTTGATCCAGACTCTAAGAATTTTCCCAAAGAGGCAAATACGAAGTAACTACAGAAAGTCAAAAACAACTATTTTCATGTTTCTATCACTTTAAAACATTTCAAAAATGAAGATTTCTTGTGGCCTTTTAAAGAGAATTTTATTTGAGTGGTTCTTACAAAGATTGTTGCAATATGAAAGTCATTTGTTTGATAGAAATATCAAGCTGTCTTGTCAAACACACTGAAGTAACCCAAAAATATATTTCAGAGCTCACAGAGCTTAAAAAGAGCAAAGATTATATGCAACCAGACAAAACCTATTTCTGCATTTCCTTTTTCTTGCTCAGACTGCTTTGCCTTACCAGACTGTCACTAAACATCTTGAGGAAATGCAGGGATCATTTTGTTTGGAACCTTAGACACAACAGAACACATATTTACAAAGAAACTTTTACAGATACATTAATTGAAAAGATACCATTCAAAAATGGAATTTTGAAACCTTTTCTTGCCAATTGATCAGAATGAGATGTTAATCAAACAGCCCTTAAGCTGTCTTGAGTTTCCATACACTAAATATGTATTTCAGAAACCTCTGCTAAACCATTAGCTAAAAGTAACATTAGCAAAAATGTGAAATGTAACTGCTGTGTAAAAAGTTAGGCTTCTGAAATGAAACATTAAAAACATCATATCCCTGTCTGCCTTTTTACATTAAGCACATCTGTTCCCCTAGAGCTATTCCTATAGATCTTTAATGTAATTTTCTACATGTACATTTAAAAGGCAGAACAAGAGAACAACAGCTTTGTATACAGTGGGATTTGCTAGTTAGGGAGAATGAGCACACTGAATTCCTGTTAACATTTTTATTTTTTCAAGGTAACAGGAATTGTATACAAATGACAGTAGACCCTCGCCTCTTTATTTTTATCTAAATAAAAGATAACTCAAGATGAACTCTCAAGAAAGAAAAAGAGCTATGTACATAAGGGACTATATCTTCCTTCATCGTCTACTTGGAACCAGTAGTTGTGTTGCTGTCATAGAATCAGGAAATAGGTTGTGATAAGTTGGAAGAGGTACATATGCTGCTGTTATCATTTTACCTGTTGGGGGAAAAAAAACAGATACAGGTAGTTTAACATCTTCACTTTGATTAATTAGAGCCTTAATTATAGTGACTTAGAAGAAAAGATCAAACTCACCAGCAAACCACCTGCCATGCAATGCATTGACAGCAGCAATGGCTGCAGCAATTGATGGGCACTTCACATACACATTGCCCTAAAATATACATACACAAGGTTAAGGGCACTGCCATAAAGAGCATGAATTTTAATAAGTTTATGCACATTCCCTGTAGAAAACTTAGTGCTCTATAGTAATTGTATAGCTAATACATAGTACACCTAGAACTTCATTGAAAAATGTTTGTTCTCCCATAGATCTGCTTCTGTACTTTTTTTTTATGATTTGAAAGCTGCCAAAGAAGGAAGATGCCAGGATTTCATGGCAAGATCTCAACACTAAGCCGCAACACTACTTGTGTAATTCTCTATTATTTTGAAAGTGTCTTTATCTTGGAGGGTGTATATTTAGTCAGTATATTGAAGTTTCCTTTAAGAAAAAACTCTCTATGGAAAAACAATGATAATATGATCCAAGTATCTGTGAAGCTAAAGGCAAAGAGCAACAACATATTTTAGCTTATTAAAAAGATCAAAATAGCCCTGGCTGGTGTAGCTCAGTGGATTGAGTGCAGGCTGGGAACCAAAGTGTCCCAGGTTCGATTCCCAGCCATGGTACATTCCTGGGTTGCAGGCCATAACCCCCAGCAACCGCACATTGATGTTTCTCTCTCTCTCTCTCCCCCTCCCTCCCTCCCCCCTCTCTAGAAATAAATAAAATCTTAAAAAAAAAAAAAGAATTCCGAATCTAACAAACATAAAAAAAAAGATCAAAATACCTGAGCTGAATTTTTGTCAACATAAATATGAATAACTCCTCCATGTTTATTACATTCTTCAATCACATCATCTTTAATCTCTGTATCCCATCCAACTTCTTCTTCCCTGTAAAAAAGTATTCAGTTTTAGACACTGTTCGAACTCACAAAGTTACATATATTTTCATTTGTATAAAAACTTGATGTTAGTGCCCTGACTGCTGTGGCTTGGCTGGATGAGCATTACTCTGCAAAGCAAAGGGTTGCCAGTTCAATTCGGAGTCAGGGCACATGTGCCTGGGTTGGGGGTTCAGTCGCTGGGTCAGGGAGCCTTCAATAAGCAACCATCTGACTCTCCCTTTATCCCTCCTTTCTCCTCTCTTTAACAACAAATATCTTTTATAAAAATCAAAATAAACATTGTTTCTAACCAAGCTTACACATTTTTAACACCACCATTTAACACCACCATCGTTTTCCCAATGATACTTACAACTACAGTTTATCTCCATATCACAAACCTAATAGCTTCCAAGGCTCTTTCTATGGTAAACTATGAACGAATATAAATGCAAACAGCATGTTATAACTATAGTTATTGTATGAAGTATGTTTCTTGGAATATAACAGCTGACTAATCAAATTCACTGAGGGGAGGGGGTGAGGGAACCCCTACATTTTTATTAGATTACTAACATGACTTAGAAAAACAAGATGTGCACTGATTAATAAAACGCATTCTAATCATTGGGTAGGAAGTAGAAAAATTTCCTAAATTGACAGATGGCACTAACAAAAACAAGAAAATTGGAAGATACTTGTCTGCTATTAGACTGAAACAAGCTTAAAATTTCAAAGCCCAGAAACAATAAAAGAGTAAACTGGTGATCAAAATAAATGCTGATACAAACTTTACAGAAAATGCCCTGGCTGGCATAGCTCAGTGGATTGAGCGCGGGCTGTGAACCAAAGTGTGGCAGGTTCAATTCCCAGTCAGGGTACATGCCTGGGTTGTAGGCCATGACCCCCGGCAACAACCGCACATTGATGACTCTGTCTCTGTACCCCCCCCCACTCCTTTCCCTCTCTAAATGAATGAATGAATGAATGAAATCTTAAAAAAAAAGAAAAAAAAAAACAAACCCACACACTACAGAAAACTACTGAGATGTATCAATGGAAAATGTAACTTTGGATAGCTTTCAACTGAATTCCAATCTTACAAACATATCCAAAGAAATTAATCAGCAATGGCCCTGGCTGGTGTGGCTCAGTGGATTGAGCACTGGCCTGCAAACTAAAAGGTCACTGGTTGATTTCCAGTCAGGGCACATGCCTGGGTAGCAGGCAAAGCACCCAGTGTGAGGGTGTGCAAGAGGCAACTGATCAATGGATCTCACACACATCTATGTTTCTTTCCCTACTCCCCCCAGAATAAAATCTTTTAAATTTCTTTTTAAAAAAAGGTCAGCAATATGCATAAAAATTGTGCGACAAGAATCAAAACTGTTACATTATTTGAACTATAAAATACACAAAAACATTTTAAGTGTTAATTCAGAAAGTTAAATATTAAAGGTTTTACAGCATACCCTTTTGAACCTGACCAAAGTATGTTACTTACGTTTGAGGGTTAAACATGTTAGAGAGTTGAAAACACTGTGTTGCAAGAGGTTGAACAGAGGCAGCTGCAGCTAAAGCTGAAGCTATAAAAAAACAAAAAAAGGGAAATTAGTTTCATAGAAAATGTATCAGAATAAAATTAAACCAAAAAACCCCACCAAACCCAGAGTATAAAACTAGGATACTGTCAAGACAGCCACTTCACTAATTTATTTAATAATGATCTCAAAGTATATAAGAGTCCCCCATTTCAGTTGCTGGAAAACTGAAGCAACATTGAAGTGGCTGATCTTAAGAAAATAAAAATTCAATTATCCAAGTTATCAGTACAAATCAATCCAGAAAGGCGAAGAATAAAACTGAACACTGATTTTGTAGGACTACTAGAGTTTATACCCTGAGAAGCAGGGAATAATAAAATACAGTCTGAAAATGCCAGTAAGGCCATGCATGGCCAGGTAGCTCAGTTGGTTAGAGTGTTGTCTCGGTAAGCTAAGGGTGCTGATTCAACCTCCAGTCAGGGGCACATACAAGAAGCAACCAATCAATGCATAAATAAGTGAAACAATAAATCAATGTTTTCTCTTTTTGTTAAAGATGATTTTATTTATTTTTAGAGATAAGGGGAGGGGCAGAGAAAGGAGAGAATCATGTGCTAGAGAAACACCAATTAGCTGCCTCATGCACATCGCCAACTGGGGACCTGGCCCCACAACCCATGGATGAGCCCTGACCAGGAATCTAAATAGAGACAGAAACCTTTTGTTTGCCCAGCGCACTGAGCCACACTAAGTTAGGGCAAACGTTTTCTTTCTCTCTCTAAAAATCAACCCATTAGTAAAGTGCCACAAAGATCTATACACTTTTGTACTTCTTAGATTTCTACCCATGAATATAGTTATATTAAAAAAAATTCATAAATGGGAAATGGGGACATTTAAAATAGGGTCAACAATAAAAAATTTAAAAACAAAGTGGGAAGAATAAATTTAAAAATATATAAATATAAAAACATTGTTTTAAAAAGACACAAAACCACTCAAGCATTTAAGATTTAATACCCTAATATTATAAATCTTATTAGAAAATCAAATCCGTATTTTAGAAATTAGGTCTGTTTTAGCACAAGAAACACTAAAAATAATATAGTAATACTCACTATATTAAAAATTTTAAAGAAACTACTGGACACTAATATTTAGGCTCAACATTTAAAACCTATATTGGCTTAACTTTGAAGTTAAGAGCATTCACCAATATAGCTGCACCCCTGCTTTCATGTGATTGATAAAACATTACCAGTAGCTGTTACACAACTCACCGTAATCATAACATTTGACCAAATTTCATTCCAATACATAACAAACAAAGCTAAGGATAAAATAGTGCATTAGAAATTATAATAAACGTCCACCAGAGGAAGTATCAGAAATATTCCGCTGAATAAAAATTATACCTGTGCATGAAATACATTTTAAAAAATGTTTCTGATAAAATTACACAATTTTTGCTTATTTTTTTACTTAAAAATAAGCAATTAAAAAATAAAGCTTTACATTAGAATACAAATGCAACAGAAGTCACATTCTATTAGGTCAAGTTAAGGATGCAACCGTGCTTATTACAAGAAATAAAGCCCACTGTGTACCTTATCACAAACAAATGGTAATATGCTTGGAAAAAAACCAGAAGGTCATTTACGAGATTAACTGAGGATTTTATTTTTCCACTTTCTCAAACTAGCTGTATTACAAATACTAAAAAATATTTAGAATAAAGTATGATAGAAGTATTACAGCTCAACCTACATTAATGCAGAACACAATAAATTCAGCATAGAAATACTAATAGGAAAACACACTATTTCAACTTTTAAAATCTGTTAGGAAAAAAAAGGACTGAGTAAGACTCTCCCATTTGTTGGTTATACACTTAATTTCTGACTATCAAGGAACATGGTAGACCTTTCTCATTGAGAATCATTTCCCTAAATAACTAAATATACTCTATGAAAGTATACTTTATTTTGCTCAATAGCAAAGCGCTCTATCAAACAGCAGATATTTACGTGGTAATTAACAATGAAAAATAGCCTACTTTATAAATCATAACAATCTCCAAAAATCTGCATGTAATTTTGTTCTGGGTCATTTTTTTTCATTGCTTAGTACTGCATATACAATCACTGGAGTTAGAGCCAGTTTTTCCTGACTTCTATGTAAAGTTACTAACAATTTCTACACAAAAATAAGCACAAAAGAGTGAAAATAATGCTAAGCAAGCTAAAGCCCCCCAAAGAACAGACATTTTCATTTTCCATCCATGCAATTGTAGTCATTTGATTAGGTCTTCTGAAACATACATAACATTAGCAGTAAAGCTTACTGTGTCTATATACCACCATGTCATTATGACAAAATTGGGTCTAAAATACAGAATATGATAATAAATATGATATAATATATATAAACAGCTATGTCTTGCTACATTTACATTTACTTAAAAGGCAAATAAAAAGCTCAACTCACCTTCAGTCTGTTGAGAAAGTCTTGTTTGCAAATCTATAACAAAAGAGAATTCTACAGCTCAGTGCAGGAACAATGAAGAGCCTCAACTAACAGGGTAAATGTCAGGAAAGCATTAATAAAAGAGGACTATTGTAGCAGGGTTTATTAAAATGAACTTACAGAAAACCTGGCAGCCAAACCTCCTTCCCCATTCCTCATTGGCAAGGCTTTGGGGCCTCCTTCTTTCCTCCTATCCTACGAAACTTACTTATGCCTCTCTATTCCTATTCCTAGCAAGTAATCTTCCACATCTCAGATGCATTCCACTACACTACTCTGCACATGGGAATAATGGGAAATGGGGAAAGGGAAGCACACCGGTCAGAAAATACATGAAAACCCTGGTCTTGAGAATTCAATTCCAAGTACTTGGGATATTAAACTATTGATTGTCCTGTTAGTGGAAATAAGCATTTTAAACTTTCAAAACGTTATTTTAAAAAAAATAGTAATCCCTGCAATAGTATACATCAAGCAACTATAAATACTTTCACTGATCTACAAATTCAGTAGTAAGAATATCATCAGTGGGAAATACCATTCTAACTGTATCTATTACTTTTTTAAAGTGCTTTTTAAGGGTTAAAAAGTCTAACTCTGAAGGTGAATTTTATTTGGATCTGGTTTCATGACCTAGTCTAGAAATTTAACGATGCAAAAATGAAATCTAATTGGGTTTACCATAATCTAAGAAACACAAGAAATTTTAAGCATCTAGTTAGTATTAAAAATAAAGAGAATGGGGATTTTTACCAATGTATTTCCCCATATAATTAACACACTTCGACATGAAAAGGCAGGTTAACAGAAAACTGATAGGATGTGAACACAGAAGCAAGTCTAAATGGTAAAGAAAATGGGCCAGTGTTGAAAAGCTATCTTGAAGCTTGAAAGTTACTGAAATAGCCTTGGCTGGTGTGGTTCAGTGGATTCCTGTGAACCAAGGAGTTGCCGGTTCCATTTTCAGTCTATCATGCAAACCTGGATTGCAGGCCAGGTCACCAGTAGGGGATGTGCCAAAAGTGGCCACATACTCATCTTTCTCTCCCTCTCCTTCCTTCCTCTCTCTAAAAATAAATAAATTAAGATCTTTAAAAAGTTTTTGAAATATACAATACAAAAATTGTTTATATTCAGTACCCAATTTTTGTTAAGGTAATTAATTCAATTGCAATACTTTATTACCATTTGGATTTCTTGTTGAGTACATGAAAATAATCACAAAACATGGGCAAAACTGAAAAGGAATCTACAGCCCAAGTTATATTGGGAAATAAGTATACCTGGGTCCTAGGTGCTCAAAATTGGCATCTCAAGGAGTTGAAGAAATATAACTGGTGTATACTGAAGGAACTTGAAGATATGATCATAGGAACATTGTCAATAAACTTTAAATTATAACACAATGTCTTTTTTTCCTAAAATGGGAAAAAATGTATAGATATCAGAAATCCATGCTATTTTAAGTATATAAATTCCTATCAAAATTGCAAAAATAAAGGTGACTTTTTATATGCCCTTCTGATCCCAAAATTATGGCCAGAGAGATATCAATGTCACCAAGAATAATTTGTAGGATGCCAAAAACTTGTTTTGAAGTGTTTTTAAAGTCTGACCAAGAATTCTGACCCAGAAACAAATAAGATGTGAACACTTAAAATGTTTTACTTTCAGAAAAAATTTTCCAACGATTTCTCAGGTTATTTGTGACAAGTTCGAAAATAAGGCATGGGTTTCACAAAGGTAAGGACCCTGTATTAGAAAGGATCTGTTAAAACTTCCAGAAGAAAAGCATATATATGGATATAGCCCTGGCCAAGTAACTCAAGTTAGATTAAGGCATTGTCCCAATATACCTGGGTCTGATCCCTGGTCAGGGCACATACAAGAATCAACCAATGAAATACATTAAATAAGTGGAACAGCAAATCGATGGCTCTATCTCTCCTCCTTCCTCTCTCTAAAATCAATTAAAAAAAAAAAAAGTATGCAGGTATAATGATGACCCACCCTTGGTTTCAAACAGTTTTAAAGGGTTCACAGGTTAAAAGGTCTCCAAGCACTCAGCAATTTATTTAATTTCAACAAGGAATGTGTAAGGTCTTAGTGACTATCTGGAGAAAAACCAGATGTATTATTTACCTATAAATTGAGTTGACTAAGTAGCAATACAATTTATCAAGTGTAAGAAAAACAGAATCAAATTTTAAATCATATCAACAAACACTTAAAAGGGAGAATATAACAAATATATAAGTAACTAAATGGCTATTTCCAGCAACTCACATGGACATTTAGAATTTTAGTTGATCATAATCAGCCAGCCTTAATATAAGCTTCATAGGGAGTGTGGCAATGGAGGTATAATCATATATAATGTGTGACAGAAGAATTAACAACGAAGGGTATTTAATAACAGCGTCTAACATAAAAAAAAAAAAATCTTTGACAAGATGAAGATACTGTTTATGAGGAAAAAGACCAAACTAATATTTGACACACCATTCAGGATACAACCGGAGATTGTTTAGAAATCAATCATATGTCACTGCATTAAATCCCTGAAGGCAGGGGACCAATCTTGTTCACTAGCCTTTAGTGAATTACCTAGAATATGGTAAATAATCAAGCATATTTTCTCAATTATTGAAAGAATGACCTGAACAATGGGAATAAAGAAAGTTTTCAGATTAAATAATTTTCAAACCATAGATAAAGGATTATTCCTGAAGTGATGGGTTTCCTTTAGCATCTTCAATTATAGTAAATGATGTCTATGACTACTTGTTCACTGTAAAGAAACCGAACACCTAACATTTATTTTGAAAGTAAAAATAAAATCAAGCCCTGGCTGGCATAGCTCAGTGGATTGAGCACGGGCTGCGAACCAAAGTGTCGCAGATTTGATTCCCAGTCAGGGTACATGCCTGGGTTGCAGGCCATGACCCCCAGCAACCACACATTGATGTCTCTCTCTCTCTCTCTCCCCCTCCCTTCCCTCTCTAAAAAATAAATAAATAAAATCTTTAAAAATATATATAAAATAAAATAAAATAAAATCAATACAGTAATGGTTGTGATTTTTCTCATACATCTGGCATGGTTTTGTCAGAAATTTCAGAGAATAACTACCTATTAGATTGTAAAATAAATCATCAATTTGACAGAGAGCACAGAAAACCTAAAAGCAGGTTTTTTCTAAAAGTACTCTTATAAACGTTTGGATAGCCATTAAAAAAACAAAAACAAAACAGTGAAAAGCCCCCTCCAAATAACGAAGAACAATATAAAAGTAGAAATGATCCTCTCCATTTCAATTTAAAAGGAAATCATGAAGTAATCACATGAACCTTTTTGTATAGATTCAGTACCATCCTATTTCTTATTTCTTTTTCAAATTTTTCAATTACAGTTGAAATTCAACATTATACTAATTTCTGGTGTAGATGTTTCATATTTTTACATATTGTCAGCCTTACTTTGTAGATAAAATCGAAGGACCAATATATAATAGAAATTGCCACTTTCTTGGGTTAAGTATTTCCTGTCATACAGGTTTACAATATAAATGGTTCTTTTATGTACTTTTAAAAAGCAAGACTTCAATATTTCAAAATTAAGCAGTGTTTCATAAACCAAACCCCTTGTTACATAATTGTAACAAACTGCCAATGATCTCCTCCCTTCCTGATTATCTCCAGTAACTTCATTCCCTAACTCAACAGCTCAAAATATATACTATTTAGAAAAGCACTTTCTTGGGCATTTTTGATATTGCAACCACTTTAATAAAGCTTGATTTAAAGGCCTTTGGTAGTTTTCTGAACTTTAATATTGCAATATAAACCTATGGTCTTTAATAAATATACTTTAAAAGGTATGGCTTACAACAATTTCATCTGAAACTGGTGTGCAGGGTTTAGTAGCAATACCCTGACAGCTTATTATGATTAGTGGATAATTCTGTCCTATGTCTCCACTTTCTTATGTGATCATTTGAAATTTATAGACTCTAAGTACTTGATGAATTGAATTCTCAGTAAGTCCTTTTAAATGCAAAAATTTGGCAAATTTTCGAATTAGGTGAAAAAAACAACGATTTCAAATTAGAAAAGATTCAATTCCTACCTGCCACAGCACCAAATGCCAAAGAGCCACTCATTTGCAGAGCTTGCTGTGCTGCTGGTGGGATCTGCAAACCTGTACCTGTAAAAGAATAGCCCTTAAAGTCCTTCATACGTTAACACCAGAAAAATCCAGTGTTTTGAGTGCTTACTACTAGGTACCTGTCTAGAAAAAGTTACAAGCAGCATATAATATAGGAGGTACAACTAAGTTTATTTTGAATAAACTTCAAAATAAATTTTAAAGTGAGGATAACATTTTTATATAAAGCAAAAGGAATCATGTAACATTTGCTATGGTACTAAAAAATGCACTACCATAGAGTAGATACCATTAGAACATTAATGCAAGAGGGTTGTCTATGAAATTACATGCACATGCTGCCCAAGGATAACATCAATTGCAAAATAAATCACTTTCCATTTATTAGTGTGCATGGTCCCTTTTCTCATTATCATACTCACAGTAAATCATTTACAACACTAAGAAACACTTACCCTCTGCAAGTCTTGCCATTAATTGGAGACGACCAGTTGTTCCCAAGTCAATTCCAGTCCTTTCCAGTTCATCACTGTCCAAAAATGAGCTAGCGCTGGAAGCATCAGTACGTTCAGTAACATGACCAACTTTCATTGGTCTTCCAGCTAGCTCAAATCCATTAAGTTGTTCCAAAGCCTTCTTGGCACATTCTGAATCAGAAAACTGTAATTGAGAAAGGCAAAAAAGTCCAGTACATCAGTTTACATATATAACCAAGGCAAAAAGCTTACAAATTAAGTCCAGTCTTTTCAACAGTAATTGGGTAAATGATAAAGTATAGCTCCGGCTGGTGTGTCTCAGTGGACTGAGCCACCGGCTTGTGAACCAAAGGGCTGCTGGTTCAATTCTCAGTCAGGGTACATGTCTGAGCTGTGGGCCAGATCCCCAGTTAGGGGTGTAGAGACAACCACACACTGATGTTTCTTTCCCTCTCTTCCCCTCTAAAAGTAAATAATAAATAAAATCTAAAAAGATAAAGTAGAAACTTGAAGCTATTATATATAAACAACATGATCAAACCATATTATTGACCTGAAGATTTAAAATGACAAGAAAGGCACTCTCCTCTAGGAAGCATGCCTGTGCCTCCTGCCCGAGGCTTATTACCTTTATGCCTTTCTCCTATGCTTCAAGGGCCCCTTCTTTCGCCTCTGCAACTTGTTTCCTGAACACATTTCTGCTACAACTTGCTTCTACCTAGGTCAATTTCTAAATAAACTTTCTTATAGTTTGGAAAAAAACAAAATTCAAAATAATAAAAAAAATGATAACCAAGCAATGACAACTATCTTAGGAAATAAAGAATCATGGTAACAAAATGTGAAAATTTTTAACTCAAAGCCCTTCTTGTCCTGACTGGTATGGCTCAATCAGCTGGGTATCATTTCACAGACCCAAAGGTCACAGGTTTGCTTCCTGACCAGGGTACATGCCTGGGTTGCTAGCCAAGTCCCTGACTGGGGGATTGAGAATGGCAACCAGTCGATCTTTCTCTTGTACATCTTTGTTTTTCTCCCTCTTTCTTCCTCCCTGTCCACCTCTAAAAATAAAATCTGAAATACATGCATACAAAAAGGTTTTTTTAAAAAAGACTTTACTTACTTATTTTTAGAGAGAGGGGCATGGATGGAGAAAGAGATGGAGAGATACATGAATCGGTTACCTCTCCCATGCCTCCAACTGGGGCCCACAACCCATGCATGTTCCCAATAGAACCAATGACCTTTCACTTTGCAGGCCAGCACTTAGTCCACTAAACCACACCAGCTAGGGCCATACATAAAATCTTTTTAAAAATCCCTTCTTAATGTGCTGGGACAAACTGAAATGGTGTTTTTACCCTCATAAAAGTGCACTACTCAAAAAATTAAAGTTCATTCAGATGTTCTTTTTAATACAAAATTCTGGATCATCATTTCTTGATAATGAAATCATGATAGTTCTTAATTCCAGGATGCTAACAAAGCAAAACTCTAATCCACTCCTTCTAGTTTAAATTAAATGGGAGAAAGGAACCTATTCTCATAAATTCCATAGTTTAACCTTTATCACATTTATCATTTAAAATAATTTTTTTCTGTTATAGAGATGAAAGTTTACACACACAGCACCATGTAAATTTACATAATCTAGATTTGTATACAGATCACTGAATCACAGTAAATAGTTAATAGAAGTTACATTTAAAATCCTTTCAAAAAACTCCACATCACTTTCTATTGGGGGAAGGAAAAATACTGGTAACCACACTAATGTTATTACAAACAAAACAAAATGTTGGTGAGTTGGCAGTTTCATTAAGTTTTCTCCTTTCCCAACACATATTAAATAAAATCCCTGTAACCAATGAAATAGACTGTACTATGACTAAATTTTATTTTCATTTGGACATATAACAATTATAATTTGTTGATTAAAACTGGTTCCCATTTGTATTTTAATGTAAAAATGTTTCCATCATCTTTCCAAGGTGACAAGATCATATATTTGAAAAAAATTCCTACCATGTTAACTGGATTACATCATGAAGTAAGAGATTAAAAAAGCACCTCCACTTACCATTAATTAGTCCAACTGTCACCCCCTATCAAAATCAGGGACTGAGTAGCAATAGTTAGCCAGAAATATAAGGCATCTCCTTATTGTGGGATGGTGCATATACATAAAAAGGATTTTAAGTAAAATGAAATTTCAAGAGACCTTCATTCACCAGACAACACTGTGTGTCAAAGATAAGTAAAAAATTAAAGTAGTCATATAAGGGAATCAGAGACTTCAATCATATGCAGAGTTGCCTGGCTGGTGTGCCTCAGTGGACTAAGTTTCGGCCTGCAAACCAAAGGGTTGTAGGTTCGACTCCCAGTCAGGGTACGTGTCTGGGTTGATGGCCCCAGTTGGGGATGTGTGAAAGGCAACCAACACATCGATGTATCTCTCCCTCTATTTCTGTCTCCCTTCCCCTCTCTCTAAAAATAAATAAAATCTCAAAAAAAAAAAATTTATATAATGAGTTGCCTAAATAAATTGACCATATACAGGATAATATTAAACTGGCTAAATAAATGTTCACATCTGCTAGACACATATTGCTAAAAAGAAATGGCTATTAAATGGCAAACTTATCTAAAACACTTAAAAATATTAACCATGCCTCCTTCCCCACCATCAAAAACTAATGAAATTTTACTGTGCTTCTTAAATCAAAATCATTTAAGTCATAATGTTAATGGTTTACCGTAATAAATCCATATCCTTTGGATCGACCTGTTTCACTGTCCATCATAAGCTGGATACTTTCAATCTAAAAATAAAAACGTAATTATTACATAAATAATGAGGGAACAAACTTTTTTCCTTGAGACACAACTGACATTATTTCCCTCCTCCCCTAAAAAATAATTGGAAGTATACTGCAACCCGTATATCACCGCCCCCTCAATCTTATGAAGGCCTAGAAATTTCCTAAACAAGAGGTCATACATTGAGGAGTCAACTACCCCCCCCCACCCCCCACCCCTTAGTCTTCTGCCTCAAAAACAAATGACAAAAACTTGCCCTGGCTGGCATGGCTCGGTAGACTGAGTGCTAGCCTGATTCCCAGTCAGGGCACGTACCTGGGTTATGGGCCAGGTACCCAGTAGGGGGCATGTGAGAGGCAACCACACATTGTTTCTCTCCCTGTCTTTCACCCTCCCCACCTTCTGTCTAAAAATAAAATCTTAGGTTTCTTTGAAAATGACAAAAACCTGAAGTCCTTTGTAAAATATAATCAAAAGTTAAAAATGAAACCACCACTTAGTTTGCATTCCGTTATGCTAAAAACACCAAAAATAATTCTCTATCCATACACAGAAAGCATGAAAAATTAAGATACGACACCCACAGCATGTATCTTCATGTTCTGGTGGTTGCCGGAATATACTCATTTTGTAATAATCTAATCTACCCATACAATTATGATTTACATAGCATTATTATGTGTGTTTCCAATAAATAAAGCACTCACAATCTCAAGACCCTAACTTTTACCACTGTTGACTTAAAAGAGTTTAACAAAAGGGTTCAGTGGGCTAGGAAAAGCAATAAAAAATATATCCAAGAACAATGAACATTAGTAGTGGGTTAAGATTCAGCAGGAACCACCATTTTTATTCATGGCCACAAAAATGGATATTTTAAACCAGAGCACAGCCTACTATTAACTTTTATTCTAAAATGTCCAGTCTAAGCAATGACTGGTGTGACTTGGTGGATTGAACATCATCCTACAAACCAAAAGGTGGCCAGCACATGCCTGCACTGCAGGCCAAATCCCTGCTTGGGGTTATGCAAGAGGCAGCCCATCAATGCTTCTCTTGCACATGTACGTTTCTCTCCTCCTCTTTCCTTTCTAAATAAATATAAATAAAATGTCTACTCTAATATGAGAACCAACTGGACATAAAAAGTCCAATTATTCTTTAATTTAGTAGAGAAGCTTCTTTATATACTCTTAAATTTTTAGTAAGAAATCATCGAAAAAAAAAAATCTCTTGCTCCATATGCATTTTTATTATTTGTGTTGATTTTTAAAAAATGATTGATTCTAATACTATGCATTTCACGGTAGCTTAAGAAGATATTAAGAGTCTTTAACTTCAAATTATATGTACTTTCAGGGACTCATTTTTTAATTGAAGCTGTCATAGAAACCTTACAGAATCACCTTCCCTCATCTTAATGGTAATTTTACAGAATCATGACAACAAAACAGATCTAAGAATTATCATACAGTTATGCTCAGACCAAGAGCTCACTAAAGAAACTGATGCATTCAAGAAATCAGGACTTACCCTTCCAAAAGGCTCAAAGATCCCCCGAAGCATATCTTCAGTTATGTTAAAGTGTAATGAGCCCACATAAAGCCTCATAGGTCCAGCACTTCCTTTTTGTAGATTGTTTGCCATTGCTGCAGCTCTGTTTTTTTCTGCCTACAATTTAGGTAAGTCAAAATGCACATTACACAACACTAATACAAATTAGTAAAATAGTAACCCCCACCCACAGATTAGGTTTGCTTAATAACTGATGTCAAAGGTTAGTAAAAAAAATTGCCTTGGCTGGGTAGCTCAGTTGATTTGATCATCATCCTGATAGGCCAAGGTCACAGGTTTCATTCCCAGTCAGGGATCATAACAGAAAGAACAATCAACAAACGCGTAAGTGGAACAACAAATCGATATTTTTCCCCCTCACTCTAAAAAACCCAGTAAATTTAAAAAAACAAGGTAAAATAATGCTAAGTGTTATAGTCATACACAAAAAGGACAAATGTTCTATTATTCCCTTTACATGTGACTGTTTAATGGCACTGAGTCATACACTTAAACAGTTAAAATGCCAATTTTTTCTTTTTTGCCCCAGCTGGTGTAGCTCAAAGGATTGAGTGCCGGTCTGCAAACTGTAAGGTCACTGGTCTGATTCCTTCCAGATCAGGGCACACACCTAGGTTGCAGGCCAGGTCCCTGGCTGGGGGCTTGTGAGAGGCATCCAATGAATGTTTCTCTCTCTGTTTCTCAAAATAAATAAAATCTTTTAAGAAAAGCTGAATTTTTAAGTACTGATGCACCCTCTTATCAGACATGTTAAAGTGGAAAATCAAGCCCTGGCTGGCGTAGCTCAGTGGATTGAGCGCGGGCTGCGAACCAAAGTGTCACAGGTTCTATTCCCAGTCAGGGTACATGCCTGGGTTGCAGGCCGTGACCCCCAGCAACTGCACATTGATGTTTCTCTCTCTCTCTGAAAATAAATAAAATCTTAAAAAAAAAAAAAAAAGTGGAAAATCAGATTATTTCTTGCAATTGTTAAACATGCTCATTATTTATTAAAATGAATATACTGTCATTTTTACTCATAGTATAGTACACTAAGGTTGTCATAAAGGGGCTTGACATAAGTTAGCTCAGTTGGTTAGAACAACACTCCAGTATGTCTAAATTGCAGGTTTGATCAAGAAGCAACCAATGAGTGAAACAAATCAATGTTTCTCTCTCTAAACTCAAAATAAAATTTAGAAAGAAGGCTTAGGTAAAAAAAAATAAATAAATAAATAAAAAAGGGCGCATATCAATATAAGTAAAATCAAACCATTGTATTATGAAAAACAAAAGTTCTCAATTTATATCCTAACTCCAACTTTTCTTGTAACAAAATGGCACACCTCGAGTAGTATAGGTCAATAGCAAGTTAAATGGATCCAAAACCTCATTTATTTTGATGCTTTTCAGCCCGGGTGTCAAGTCAATCTACACATTATTAGTTTGTCTTTCTGCATCAGAGGACATGGACCTATCATTTTTCTATTATTTACTTACAATGAAGTGATAAATACCAATATTAAGTATTCTTAAAATATTAAATAGGATATTTCACCTTTTAGAGGTGCTAGAGCTAGTAGGTAAGTTGGTTACAGTCACATAAACTTGTTAGTAGTGAAACTGGAATTTCAAGTCGGATGTAGTTACAGAGCTTATGTATAGTTTTTTTAAAAATTAAAGGGTCAAACTTGTTTCTGACCCATGTTATTTGGCCAATCTTACCTCCCCACCCCCCGCAAAAAAGTTTATTTTTTAGAAAGAAACAGAGGGAGAGAAACATTAATGCAAGACAGAAACACTTATCAGCTGCCTCTCACAGGTGCCCTGACAAGGGAATCCAATCGGCAAACTCACTCTGCCCAACACCCAACCAACTGAGCCACGCAGTCTGATGAACTAACCAGATTACTTAGGAATTATGGAATATCTTCCAGTGGTTTGAAAAGCTGCCCTGGATGGTGTGGCTCAGTGGATTGAGCACTAGTCTGTAAAGCAAAGGGTCACTGGTTAGATTCCCAGTCAGGGTACATGACTGGGTTGCAGGCTGGGTCCCCAGTAGGGAGCACACGAAAGGCAACCAAATATTGATGTTTCTCCCCCTCCTTTCCCCTCTCTCTAAAAATAAATAAAATCTTAAAACCAAAAGAAAAAAGAAAAATGACCAATGTGGACTATTCAGGTACTGATGATGGAACCCTAGTATGTATTTTCGTATTACATACTCAGTAGATACATCTAAATTTTTCCACATCTAAATGAACTAAAATGTTGATGCCAATTCTGTAGAGAATCAGCAAAGAGGAATTATATCAAAATTTGCTTTACCTTAGAATATGACCTCCAATTAGTTTATAAAATATCCACTTTTCAAGAAATATTAGAACTGATAGCTGTTCAAATTACTGTTTTTTAAAACTGATTTTTAGAGGGAGGGAGGGAGAGGGGAAAGAGGAGTTAGAGACAGAATTATCAACTTGTCGTTCCACTTATTTATGCATTCAGTGGTTGATTCTTGTATGTGCCCTGACAGGGGATGGAACTCGCAACCTTGGTGTATTTGGACAACACTCTAACCAACTGAGCTATTTGGCCAGGGCCAAACTAGTCTTTGTTGGCTTTATATAAATATAAAATTTTCTGAAAGTACCAAATTTTCTGAAGTCGAAAATCAGCACATTTTTTCTTTCAGGTGCCTTTCTTTTCGTTTTTCTCTTTCCTCACAGACATGCATCTCCTGAACTCTAAGGGACCCCACAAGACTTGAAACCAGGGAAGCAAAAGGCAGCAGCTCCTCACTCCAGGCTACCCCCTGGACCCGTTTCCAAGGCCCCCTTTTCTGACTACTCTGTAAGCCAAAGCATACCCAAGGAGGGTCATTTCTTTCCTATAACATTTCTAGAGAGCCAAATCAGTCTTCCCTAGGCTGGCTCTTGTTGCTTCTTCAATCCTAAGCCCTTTTTTGTTTCCTGTCTCCAGCTTTAACCAATGTACTCTCTCCCCGCCAACAACAACAAAAAAAGATCAAAATCACTCAACTTGAAAGATTGGAAGGGGAAAACATGTTCTTAGATGATTTATCTCCAACAGATTATCACAAATCAATAAAATTCTAGACAAAGTCTGAAATCTTGTTCAAGAAATAGGTAATTACAAAAAAACACTATGCTAAAGCTGTCCTAAGAACCTATGGCCTAAGGTAGCATAGTAAGTGGTGATTACATAAGGCACAGAGAACTACAGCACAACACTGAGAAAAGCAGGTTTCCATTAGTATCAATGATGAAATTCTTAAGCAAGAAAAATTACCTGTGATGCCTGTACTATGATTGGCACTCCTAAAACCCGTTGGCCAGTTAATCCTATTGCTAGAGGCACTGAGCTAACATCGACAAATTCCACATAAGCAATTCCTTTGGAACGTCTTGAATTTCTATCAGAAATCATCCTCACATCTCGAACCTGAAAAAAAAACACACACACACACACAGTTAACAAAAGGTTGTTTGTACAACTATCCCATGAAAACCATTATAGGTAATTTAAAAAACAGACAAAGAGGAACAATACTGATGCAGAAAAGGTATAGCCGTCATAAAAAATTTTAAGTAAGTCAATTTGTAGGCCTACTGCTATCCTTTGAAGAGCAACATGGTTATATTAATCAACCAACACTTATTAACTTCCAAGTAAGGCAAAATAGGAACATTCCCAAAAATAAATTCTGTAAATAAATTCTACTAAATCACAAGATTTGGTGTTCAGATGTGTTATTTTATCTGCCATACCAACAATTATTAAAATGTTTGCAATTGCCACTTAGTTGACCTCCCTAAACAGGCGAAGATTACCTTTCCTACTGTTGAGAAAAACTCTTCCAAATCCCTTGGCCGAATTCTTGCTGCCAACTGCATGCAGAAAACAGTCCTTGCATCTCTTTCCTCAGGAGTTAAATTATCGATAGGTTCCCTAAGAGGATTAAGAAATACAGAATTTTGTAAGTTCCTCTCTTTAATGTACGCTTTCAGTAAACAGAATAAACTTTACTGAAACTAGTTTGTCACTATGCCCAAGCCATATTTATATAAAATGTCAATAAAGTAATTCAGTGAGACTCAATTCCTTCAACAGAATGACAGTTTACTAAATGTTTCTTCTAACATGGTATTAGGGCAGCAATTTTTCAACTAGTGTGTGCCACAAGAATTTTTATTTTTTAATCCACACCAAAAGACATTTTTTTTATTGCTTTGAGAGAAAGAAAGAGAGAGACACTAACTGATTTTCCCATTTGTGCCCCAACTGAGTACTGAACACATAACCTGGATTATGTGTCCTGAGAATCGAATCTAAGACCTTTTGGTTACAGGACAATACTCCAACCAACTGAGCCACACTAGTCAGGGCAAGCATTTTTAAAATATGCAACACCTGACTTTATAGTCAGGGGAACTGACCTCTTTTCCCTTAGATTGCTGAATTAAAAAAAAAAATTAACACAATAGCCACCTGGTGTGAATAAAATTTATTGTCAGATTGGCAAAAAATGTATTTTTTGGTGGGCACAAATTTTCATCATGTGCCACAAGATGAAAAAGGTCAAAAATCGCTACATTATGACAAAAAAGTCCACTGACCTCTCAAACTTACAAATGGTGTTTTCTCTTGGATAATGAACAGCAAATCGAAAGTCTGAAAGTATACTAACAACAACAGGATATAACCCCAACTAGCCACAAATCAGACTGGTCCTAAGATAGTAGGATGATTTCCCACAACAAACCGTAAAATCATAAAGTGAAACCAAGTTTGATAATCACAAAATGTTATCCTTGAAAGTAAAATCCCAAATGATAAAAACAATTTGATGCTACAAAATTTATTTTATCTAACAAATTGAAATAGATTGTTGTTTATTAGTCTGGAACCATTTTACTAAGACTCTGCAAATCAGTATCCAAAGAAATGTTTCTTGATGGATATACAATACACACAGAGTAACAATTAAGAAAATAAAAAATAAAAAGCAGGAAACTATCTAGACAAGTATCAAATAGCCTTATACTTCTATATTTATAGAAGGAACTAAAGTGCCCAAAGAAGGAACAATAGTACAAATCTAATTTTATAAATTTCAAGGAACATAAAAGTATCTATTAACATTACCATTATAAAACACCACTATATGGTTAAGATTCTCAGTGAATACTTTATGATACAACATGCTCTTATCCCCATTTTGAATATTCTCAGGAATACTTCTGAAATACTCCATACAAAATTCTGGTAAATCCCCCCTTGAGAAACCACCAACTGATTTTAAACACATTATGATAAAACTCAGGTAAAAAGCTGAACTAGATAGATCTAGACAAAGAGAACTGACAGCGGATTTTCGGAGAGAAAACTAAATATTCAAGAACAAAACCTCAGTATCTGTCACAGAGAGTTTTCAAAATCATTCAAATTTTTACCTAATCTTGGGATCATTAGAATATACCAAATAACAGGATAAACTCAAAGTTAAAAGGTGCCTTTAAGGGAAGCCAGAACATCAGTAAAGAACAATGCTACCGTTTAACAAAATGTTGGTTGACCAACATGGTAAATTGGACAGATAAGCCTTGCTACCGTTTAACAAAATGTTGGTTGACCAACATGGAAAATTGGACAGATAAGCCTTGTTTATTAAAGGAAAATAATTCACAGAAAACATTAAAAAATGAAATACTACTTAAGAACCAGTCAATTTGGTTAAGACTTTGGAAATAAAATACTTTTTCTCAGGAAAGAAATGATAAAAATTATGATTAACTACTTTCACGGAGGCCATTTCAGTAACTCAAATGTATTAATTCCAAAGATCAGTGAGTGAAGTCATTTCAAGGTTTCTATAGCTATCATTAAAAAAATTTAGTCAATGTAGTCCTGGCTGGTGTACCTCAGGGGATTAAGTGCCTGCCTGGGAACCAAAGGGTTGCCAGTTTGACTCCCAGTCAAGGCACATGCTTTGGTTGGGGGCCAGGACCCTGGTGGGGTGTTGGGTGGGAGGAGAGCGTGCAAGAGGTGCCCACACACTGATGTTTATCTCCCTCCCTTCCCCCTCTCTAAAAATCAATGTTAAAAATCTTTAAATTTTTTTGTTAATTTAGTCAATACAAAAAAGGGAAATAACATTACATGTAGCATCTGCACATTAAAACAGTAATTACTGCTTAATTTAGTTATATGAAGTTAAAATGAAAGTAATGCATTAATAGTAATAGTATTACAAAAGGAAGTAAATTTAATATGGCTGAAGCTTTATTTAAGTGAAAAGCTTTAAAGAAAGAAAGAGTGACAACAGCTACCTCACAGGGCTCTTGTCTTTTCTGAATGGACTTTTGCTTCGGGAGCGTCGTCTGCTGCAAAGTTAAAAAGTATCAGAAGTTACCCAAACAAGTACACCACATTAGTTCCTTGAAAAACAATTTAAACAATTCAGAAGTATGTTTAAAAACCTTAATTTGATGCTATGAGGCAACCCAATCTTTCCTCGGATGGCACTGTTAAATTTTGGTCCGGAGCTAAAAAGGAAACACAAAATTACACTAGTTACAGGTTTAGGGTCTTGCTAAGATCACGTTCATGTGCTCTCCAGCAAGTTTAACATTGTTTAGGCTGCTTCTTTTCCACCTCAATTATGAAGAGGAAATAAGACTTTTTCTTTTAACTCTATCCCAGGCAAACTGCTCTTACAGTTATCCATCCTGGACCACTGAGAGGTGCCAAAACCAAAGGTTACAGCCTCAAAATTTTTTAAATTCTGAAAATGCTCTTATTTTCAGTCTATTGTTTTTTAAAAATTACACATGAATATATTCCTGAGGTTATAAAAAAGCACACACAAAAGTGAAAATAGATCACCCTGAACTTCTCTCACACCAGGAATAATTACAGTTACCAGTTTGGTGTGCATCTTTGCACATCCTCTCAGGAACATACATGTATTTAACACTTAAGTACGTATAACAATATTCATGTTTTCTTGAGGGACTTCTTTTAAAAAATAAGGAGACTATTTATATAATCAAAAAAACTCTAAATTTCCATTTAATAGCAAGTCTCAGGGACTACATAAAAAAGCACATTTAGTACATCACACTTCACTTCTTTGTGGCAAATTATTCCATTGTAAAGATGAAGTTCACTGATTCTTCAAAATCCTTTTTTGAGGATGACATATTGATGTTTTTTTTTTAAAAAAAAAGATAAAAAGGGCAACTATTCTAAGAAAAAATAACAATAAAAAATTGTAATAGCAACTATTTTAAAATACAGTTTTATCCTGTATTCTAAGTAACTCTAAAAAGGCTCAGTGGTATTTGAGCCTTTTATTTTGAATGACCAAACTAAATTAGAGAGACAGTCAGATGTCCCTTAGTGCTCATCCTGTTATTCTTTCCCAGAAGGGTAATAAAAATGAAGTAACTAGTGGTCTGTGACCCACCCATTTGGATTCATTTTCATGAACTCTACATGTACTCAACATTCAAGCAGTTTCAAGTAAATTACTTTATATTAAATGGGTCCTTTGTAATTCAAACAGATAATTAAGAATATACATTTCCTGGGTAAATTTAAGCCCTAATAAGAATGTATTAAAATATTCTACCCCCATTAATTATTAAAGTCCCAGTTTTTGCCTCCATAGTTAGAAATTACCTGAAACCAAATGTGAAAACTAAATCCATTTTTAAGTCAGACCAGAATCACAGGCTGACTTCAAGTATTCATCACTAAACAGAGAAAATAGTATTCAGAATTTATTAAAGTAATCCTCTTCTCTATTTAGTTCATTCTGATTTAAAAAATGCAGTAAACTTTGATAAATTGGACAAAAAGCAACGTTGTTTTCTAATAGAGCATTCGGAATCAAAAAGAACATTATGGTCCCTTTAAGCTCTTGAAAGGTTAACGAATAAGCACCTAGGAAGAACTTAGAAAACAAATAGTTCAATTCTTTCCATTTTCAAGATTTAAGAACAAGAATCAGAACTCAAAGGTGAATAGCTTCAAATACCAAAACATTTCATGAATAGCATTATATTGAGTGCTTTCTTTATATTCTCTTCTCAATGCTCATTTTTTCTGATAATTGTTACCTTTCTTAAAAACTAAGAAAATGAAAACGCAGAGGTAACTTGCCCAAGTGTCAGAGACGAGACTCTGATTTAGTTATCTGTGAATTCCACTTTCATCCATTCAATTTTTAAAGTTAGAAGTGCTCATTTAAAAAATCCCATAATTTACAACAGTGTGTTTAAGAGAAAAGCACTAAGGATTGCCATATTCAATTCTTGCTTAAAAGCTGCAGGTAGGCGCTTTCCAGGTATTAATACAATTGAGAGTTTTTAAAATGATTATAATGAAACTTTATAATATACTTAACCACATCCAACTTTCCATAGTAATTTAAGCTTCCAGGCACCGTTAGTGCTTTATTTTAAAACTTTAAATACAATGCATAATGAGCCCCCCAAATCATTATTATCCAGGAGCATAGATCAAATTCACAAAGGGCCTGTCATTTCAGCTGAAAACAGCCACACAGACATTATTAACTAAGTGCATACTGAACATAAATAAACTTATGTTCAGTAAATGTTCACAAACCTCCAAGCTTTCAAATATTCAGTGCTACATTTATCAAATCTTAGCACTCTAGTGCTATAGTCCAGTTTGGACTGGCATACAGTTATATTATTATTTTTATATGGAATAAAAAATAATCTGTATGCCTAGAATAAAACAAAAGTTAGATATTTGTTCAGTTTTTCACTTTACTAGTCTTTTCAATGCAAATATCCTTATTTAATACTTTTTAAAATAACCATATTGAAAAGTAAAATTTCACAGTTCAAATCACTCAGATTAAATTGCTATCTGGACACCTGGCAAATGACTCCAACTATATTCATAATCATAATCACAGTTACATACTAAGGACTTCTGTAGCGGCCTCTGAATCTGCGATCTCGACTTCTTGAGCGGCTCCGTCTCCTTTCTTTGCTTCTACTTCGCTTCCTTTCACGGCTTTTGCTCTTTTTCCTTTCTCTATCTCTGCTTCGCTTCCGTTCCTTACTTTTGCTTCTTTTTCGTTCATGACTACGACTTCTGCTCTTGCTTTTTTTCCTCCTAAGGAAAAAAACCCCCACTATTATCTTACTGGTATAATGATCTGTGAAAATATATTCCTTTTATGGCCAGAATTTTTAAAATATTTTTGTAAATTTACTTTGCCATTTTTATGATCATACAATGATACACAATCTTATTTATTAAAAAAAGTAACTCCTAGGTAAAGTAAACAATACCCAACACCTTTGCCTTCTACTACTGAACATCAGCAGTCAGTTGACAAAAAATATTTGAGAGGAGGGACTATAATCATCGCCTGAGTCAGCTACAGGTCTAAAAAGGAAAGGACTTTAAATAAAGTTTGACCATCTTATAACTGACCAACAAGTACTACTATAATCCACAGGACACAGTAATAAACCAATTATTATAACAGAATGTTAACATAGAAGTATTAGTGCTAAATCATATGTAAGAATTGTCATTAAACACATTCATTTCCCAAAAGTCAATTTTGATCCAATTTATTCATGTATTATTTTGTCCTTTCACCAGGCCATATAAACATCAGAATTTTGGTTTCCATGATCAAAAAATTACAAGTAACAAAAGATAGTAAAATTCAGTAAAATGCATTCTGACACTCATATAGATGCTACTGTAACCATTTCAGGTATTTTCTTTTGAAATTTATGAGTATATGGGAAAATGGAGTATGCCACTGTTATGTCAGTTTATATAGCATGTGGGGTGCAATTAAAAAAACAACATCTATATAAATCTTTGCAAAATTTCAAACTCTGAAAGGTAAAAAAGCCAGTCAATCATATCTTTCTGTTCATTTCTATATTCTTCACAACATATCACTCATTTCACAGTTAAATCTTACAATCTATACCTGTGCTATCACCCAAGTTTTAGAGGTGCCTTCAGATATTTCAATATAAATTGAAAGCCATTTCAAAATAAACTTATTCCACTAAAATGTGAACTTATAGTAGCTAAAAGATGAAACATTTTGACAACTCTACCATCATTTGGAGATTTCATTTAACTGTTTAGTTTTTATCAAAGTAAAGTTAGCACAAGAGCAACCGGAGTCTGCCTCAGAAAACCTGTAAGTAGGCCATCTTAGAGTGCATTGAAAATAGAAAATGAAGACACCCACCTTCTGGAATCTTGAAACCCACACTCCAATCACAAGGAGATGTAGAGCTTTCCAAGGAGGCAGAAACTTTGTCTAAAATTTCAAGATAATCCACCTGACTGTCAGAAATGTATATGCTAGGTAGCACATGACAGAAAATTAGGCTACACTCATTATTTATATGTCATAAAAGCATGCCCAAAGGGCAACAGATAACATTCCAACTTTGTTACCTGAAAAACCTGACACTCTCTTAAGGAATTCTGTGCAATAGCTATAATCAAAAGTCCTGAACATAATCAATTAGGGGACAAAGTAAAAAGTAACTCCATCTCCCACAAATAAAGACAAGTTTTGCTCTGCTTATAGATGGCCCATAGAAGAGAGGCAGCCAACCTCCCTGTTTACCTCTTTTTAGGCCCAGGACTTATTTTAACAAAGGACTTGAAAACTGAAGAGCTAATTTCACTTTAAGGTCTTCCTAGGATTTTTTTAATGAGTCCCCACCCACATCTGAAGGCAACCCCAGACAGGTAAAAAGATAGCAACATACTAAGACATTGAAAATGTACAATTCTCTGCATAAAAGCCCAGACAAAAATTTAAGGGTGTAAGAAATCAGTCTATAGCTTCAAAGAACATTTATTAAGTTATCTAAAAAGAAGTTATATAAATCCATAATAGTCAAATCCTGTTACAACTTAAAAGGGACTTTCCAAAGTCTTTAGTGGCAGTGGAATTTTGTACTGAACATCATTGAAGTAAAAGGTCCACTGGGCTGGGCCTTTGGACTTTTTGGTTATATGGCCTCTGCTGTAAAGGTGTTTTGCTATAACTGGATTTGACCTCTTCCATGTAAGAAGATCTAAATTTTAAATGCAAAGTACTCTGGAAAATAAGAAAAAAATAGAAAAGTCATTTATTCCAAAATTTATAGATAATCCACACCACAGTAGCCAATATATTTCAACTGTGTCATTTTATTGTTACTCTTTTTTGAGTAATTCCTAAAAGAATTTAACTGAATAAATGCTGATTTAGACTTTGTTAAACTGGTTATACTAACAAGTAATATTCCCATGAAGGCAAGCTCCAGGACTTTAAAAAGCGCATTTTGATGTCTTGCCGAACTCAGGTGTATAGTTCTTTAATTGATAATCAATTTGTATTATATTAAACTTAGTTCTTTTTGCTATCGGAATACAACTGAGTACATGTAATGAGAATCAAAATTAACTATTTCTTAAAAGAAAACATTTACTGGTCCCTCTCAATTCTCATAATGTATATTTTCTTACCACCTTAAAACTACATCCAACACTCAATGGCTTTTAAGACAATGAAGTTTTAAGATGAAAATTGCAATGTGGCACCTTTCTTTGGTTGACTTAACTTACGCCAAAAACTAAAGCACTGAACATTTTGCTTTATATTCTATCTATGTATAATCTAAATACATTTCTCTCCTAGATAACTTTGAAATTAAATTGGAAGATTAATTCCCTTCAGAAAAATGGGAAAAAGTTCCTGATTGAACAAGGGAGCCATTTATTTAATCAGCTATACATAATTGGTGAGATGTCTGAAGAGAAATAATTTGTACATTTAAAAAGACCCTAGATGGTAGATGGAATGTTTTGGAAAGTTCTTCCCTTAGTCAAAGATCCCTATGATCAATTAAAGAAAACTGTCCATTGTATTTAGTCCCATAAGACTGTTTACATGAGATAAAGACCGCTATGCATCTATCATCGTGTCCTTGTAAAAACTTGGTAGCTTTAATGGGCTTAGATGCAGGAAGTATTGTAAAACTGGAAATAACATTAGCAAGAAGGAATGACATCTAACAATGGCACAAGGGCCCTGGCTGATGTGGCTCAGTGGGTTGAGTGCAGGCCTGCGAACTAAAGTGTCACTGGTTAAATTCCCAGTCAGGCACATGCCTGGGTTGTGGGCTAGCCACCCCCCACCCAGTAGGGGGCACACAAGAGGCAACCACACATTGATATAATATCAATATTATATCAAGTTTCTCTCCCTCCCTTCACCTAAAAATAAAATCTTAAAAAATTAAAAACAAAAAATAAAAATTGTACAAGAGTCTGTACCCCACACTGCATGTTCTCATCTTTTCCACACTTACAATGAGAGCTTTACCTCACCCACTAGTCTGGACTAGATTAGCTTATTTCATGATATATGAATACCCCTTCCTACATCATCTTTGGATTACAGAACTGTGAATTAGAACCATTAATTAGGAAACAGTTACTTTGGTAAAGGTCTAAAACCAGATACATTAAACCATACAATGACTGGTTGATTGTCTCATATGTAACAATTCAAGACTAAACCCAAACCTAATACCTATAACCTGTTGTGATTAGTGAGTAACTATAACTAACTTCCACCAGGGAAGAAAAAAAAAAAAAAAGGTAGGATGTTTTATATCATTTTTAATCCATTACTACTCCATTATTTTAGGGAAATTATTATGAAAAATGTAGCAAAGCCTAAATAACTCCATTTAACAATTTTTCATATTTTTATGAAATTATATCAACCCACCTAACAAAGTAATTGTGAGAATGTTGAGGTAGTGTATTATTATAAAGCACTCTGAGCTCTTAAGAGGAAAAGAGCCACCCAAAACACAAAGAAACAAACAAAATCCAAGCAATGGCTATTTATCTTTGCGTATTAAGTCATGAACATGACAAAATGTTTTAATGACATCACAAATATAGGCTAATAAAACAATTGATGTGTATATCACCATGTTATTAAGAATCACTAATTTTAGAGCTGAAAGGAAACTCTAATAGCATCCGACCTTATAAAATAGATCTAATTTAATCTATACTATTACTTAGAACTTTGTATACTGTATTCTGTTCTAGTCTAAAGCACTGAGTTATTACTGTTTCGGATTACTCATTTAACTCTATTAACTTCTGTCACTCAATTTTTCAAAAACTCCATTCTCACTATTAAGTTTACTAGAGTTTTAAAAGCTTCAAACAAAAGATATGTAAGAGGAACATAAGAAGTACTTAAGTATGCTATATACCATTATGACAAAAATAGTCTTTAAGCAGCAAGAAGCTTGGCTAATTCATAGCTGACTCCTTCAGTAATTTAGAATACCTTCCTTGGCCTATTATCTTGTTACCTTTCCCTCTTCCTAACCCATCTTCAGTGAATGTTAGTTTAATTGATAACATTACTAAACATTAAACCAAAGTTAATAAACTGAAGATAAAAGACAAGCTGTAATATAACATTCATACAAATTGTCCTGGATGGACTTGGAGAGAAAGGTGTCCAAAAGGTCCCTAAAACCATATTCTGAAATCTAGGGAAGGAGTCCCCAGTTTTATATCCTCAAATAGTTTCTAGTCCCCCAAAAGAACCAGTTTTCTAAAAGAGGCAAAGAAAAGCTTCCACAGACCACCTTAGTTTGATGCTTTGGCCACAGGAACACAAAACTAAGTCCTGCCCCCTCCCCCGCCCCGCCCCAGCTCCCTTCTTAAAACTTACTTTTTGCTACGTTCTTCATGGCCATTAGCACTGCTCAACTTGTTCTCATCCTAAGCAAGGTTGATAGAAGAACATCATGAGGACGAAGTGGTAACATTTCAAGTTGTCAAAGGGTAAAGGGAACAGGAATAAGAAAATACAAAACAATTTTAAAACTAATTACTTATCCATAGTTTAACATGGAAGGCTATAAAAAAATTTAGATGGGTGTGTTTAACCACTTTGTTGCTTACAATTAAGTCATCAAGATACAAAAATAAAAAGGCATATTAACATGTTAAATTTTACTTTCTTACATAAATATTAAGTTATCCAGATTTATACAGTGTTGAAGTGGTTAAATAGAATTTCTTTAAAACATGAATAAAGTCCTGTTTTGAGTTTTATTCCATGTGCTATGGTCCCTTTGGTCAGTACCATGGCTCTATTTCTGCCTAAGCCCCAAGTGGCCATGCTAGCAGCCAGCCACTATGGATTTCCTGTGACCGATGCCATTCCTGAGATCTTCGCCCATTTCCGTTGGAGGGTTGGGACTGTAAGAGCTTGATGCCACCTCTGTCACACATCTCGCCCTGAAGCAAACAGGGATTCACACTGCTTTAGTAATGTTGACTCTCAAGAACCCAAGAAAGTCAATTAATAATCCACCAGTCCAGCCTAAACATTTCCTACTTCCATACCTGTTTACACGGAATTACATCCATGTTTAACTAAGACACAAGAATCTTAACATTAAAATAGAAAGTTCTTCGAAAGACTTAAGCATTATTAAACTATTTAAAGCTATAAAGAATTCATCCAAATTGGTACCACATGGTCGTGCTATACACTCCAAAACAAATGTATTATTTTAAAAAGGTTTAGCGCAATGTTTATGTTAAAGCTTGATCACACCAGTTATAGAAGTTTAACTGCTAACTTACAAAGCTTACAGTTTGTGACACCAGTGATAATGCATGCATACTGCTATTTTCACCACCAACTGGTGAAAGAATGAAAAGACACTTTAGTTTCACTGTGATACTGAAATGGGTCAAAGACTATTATTACTAGTCAAATTCCTTTGTAGTTTTTTAGTGTGAAATATGGCAGGGACTAGTTAAAAATAAAACAATATGGAGAACAGTGAAACAGTCACCAAGTGACTGTAAGTTGTGATACTGCCTCTTTGGCTTTAAATTTTTTTTTTTCTATTCAGGGATCCAAGAATTTTAGTGTTTTTTAACTAAGCAGATCACCACCTGCCTGTTTTAATATTTTACTATCACCAGTCTTTTACATATATAGAAAAATATTTTAAATCTCACCCATTTCTTCTTGTAAGACATTAAAGATTTGCTTGCCACAGACTGGTTTTACTTTGTTATTCTTGGACCCCTGCTATTTTCCCAAACCACTACATTCACCTTTTTGCTATACCAAACTGGAGCTGGTAATTCTTAGTTGAGTCATTTTACCTAGGGGACCACGGTACAGCGATAAGTCACTCAATTACTACCTTATGATTGACAGTTCACACTGGAATCAAAGGTGAATTCATGGGAGTAGAGGTGAGATATCGTTAGGCAAGTCTACAAAGAGAGATAGATGGGCATTTATTCATCACGCTGAAGTGAAACTACTGCACAATATTATTACATCAATAGCATATATTTACTTTTGCAAGTTATACGTAATGCATCTCTGATAAGATAAATCAAGAGGGCTCCGGGGAGGTTAGTTTACATTTCAGCAGTAGTTTCGTGAATAATGCTAAATCAAGAAATATATAAACCTCACCAACACTTTTTTTCTCACCTTCTTGTAAGGAGCCTCAAGCATTGCTTCAATATCAATATCGTCTGCCATTTTCTCTAAACGCCTATGGAAACAATAAGGTAATTCTATGAGTAAATACTATTTCATTTATGCTCCATTTCTTACTCAAATACTCCGACACTTCAGAAAAACATTTTCGAAAGCCCAGGCATGACTGATGTAGCACAACGCACTTTACCAGGCTTGGTAACTAAATGTGAAATGCCTCTAAGATTACATTAAAATAAACTAAACGTTCGGCTTTTAAAACCCTGCAACGAACTCCAAAAACAGAACCCGGGAGCCTCGAGCGAGCGCGCCTTTCCGCGCAAAACCCGCTCTGCCATTTTAGAAGCCGGGGAAACTCCCTCGGTAGGGACGGGTTGTGTGCCATGGCAGCAGCGTTCGGCTGGCGCCATGTTGGGAGGTCGCGGCCGGCCCAGGCCTCGAAGGAACAGGTCGCCATCTGCCCGAGACCTCCCTGGGGTTCTTGACACCCAAGAACCCTAAAAACTACTCAACCGGAAAAGAAGGGCGCGGTCGCCAAAATGGGGCCGATTTCTAGAAAACCTGCCCTCCCCCACCGTCGCTAAAAAAACGCCTAGGGAGTGTTCCTCAACCCAAGAAAAAAATTGAACCTCAAGAAATCTCTTCAAATACTAGGGTTCACAACAACTACTTACCTGTGCGGGCTTCCGGGCCCCTGTGGTGCTCGTGTTCAGAAAGAAGGGAGCTGCTGCAGCTGCCGCCGCTGTTGCTACAGTTAAGCCTCTAGGCCCGGGCCGCGGTACCGCCCAGCCCGAATTTCAGGCTCCAAGGGCGGATAGGCCCGAGCGAATCTAAAAGAAACAATGGGATTAGAGAAGCCCGCTCGGGAGTGCAGCACGGCGGCTTCGGCAGCTCAGAATCCAAGCCTGCGACAACGTCCGCAGCCTCCCTGAAATGGCGGCCGCTGCTTCCCCGTATTCACATTCACTAACACACATATACACACACACAAACACACGGGGCCTCACAGAGCCCTTAGCACGGGCTCTCGCGAGAAACTGCCTGTAGTTTCAGACTGGAGAAGACGAAATATCGCGAGATCTAAGGATGAAGCCCCAGCAACCACGGCCCAATCTCGCGCAACGATTGCGCCACAGATATTCCCTTCCCCCTTTCGGAGAAGCACTTTGACTCCTCCTTCCGGATTGGCGTCCACATCTCGCGAGACCGCGCAAGTTGCTAGAGCAAAGGCAGTTGGTACATTTCATGTCAATCCTTCGGAAGACTCAACGCTGAGTGGAATTCGGTTGTCGTCACCTCCTCGTGGCGCCTCCCTATAGCTCTTTGAAGGTTTCATCCTCAAAGCTAACCGCCTCCGCCTTCCCCGGGGCCTCCCACCCATGTGTCTGTCAAGGTCGCCATAAGGCAATCTAGTCCATATGGCGATAGAATAAAACAAAAAACGGTCATATGTAGACTATCCGCCACAGGTGAAGACGAAGTAAAAAGCACGTAAGAGAGAATGCAAGAAGAGACTGTACAGGGATAGAGGGTTAAGGGCTGTAGAAAAAAAATATGTCCCGGCCTTTTGGAGCCGGTGGGCTAGGCTCTGCCTCTGCTATCCAGCTTCAGAACCCCCTCGGAAGTAGTGGAGAAAGACAAACAGGAGGGGAAAAAACCCTGCTTCCTTGGGCAGTGGACCAGCTTTGCACCCCCAGAATTACAGTCTGGTCTTGTGTCTGTGTTGCTGTTGTTTTTTCAAAGATGTCTCCCCATTCTCCTGAGTCTTGGCTCCTTGCCCCTGAAGTCTCTCAGATGCCTGGCAGTTAAGAGTAAATTCATCACTTGTTCTTTGGTCAATAACGGCTGGGGGAAAAAAGAGAGGTCCCGAGTACAAAGGTTTTTCCTCCAACAGAAAAAGGTTGAAAAAAATTAGTTTACATATAAGCAAAAATCTTACTAGAAGTCTATTTACTAAATGATTGAGGAAAAAGATTTGAAACGACATACTTAGGTTCCTGTAACTGCTCCAAACCTGTGCAACGTTGGAAAAGTAAATTAACCTCATCGAGTCCTATCCTCCATTTTCTCCTATGAAGAAGAAGGTAATATAATTACTGAGCTAAGCTTCTTGACACTGACCTAGGCAGGTAATGTACACTATTGCATTCTCAGCTTTCAGCCAGGGTGCCCAGCCAGGTGAATACTTGATAAAGGAATGAATGAATGAATGCCTAGTGAGAATTAAATGAGATAATGCCTGTAGCATGCCTGGAAAATATTTAATTCTCAAAAAAGTTAACTTCTGTTATTACTAAGCAAATTATTTAGAGGAAATGTAGGTGTAAGGTGGCTTTCTGTTTTGAGTTAACTTTTCAAACAGTGTTTTTCTTAGAGGGTTAATAGATTTTGCATATTAGTAATGTTCTCTTACTCCTTTCCTGAAAATTCAGATCCTCTATTGATTTTTTTTAAAGATTTTATTTATTTTTAGAGAGATGGTAAGGAAGGGAGAAAAAGACAGAGAGAAACATCCATGTGTGAGAGATACATCAAGAGGTTGCCTCTTGCACACCCCCCAACTGGGGACCTGGCCCACAATCCAGGCATGTGCCCTGACTGGAAGTCGAACCAGCGACCTTTGGATTCACAGGCTGGCACTCAATCCACTGAGCCACAACAGCCAGGGCCTCTATTGACTTTTAAGTGTTGAAAATCATCAAAGAAAACTAAATTGAAGTATAATATGTCAGAAAAGGAAAGCTAACCTTTGCCTTCTCTTTTTCCCCTTTAATTCCAGTATTGTGACTTGTTGTTGTTGCTGTTCTTCTTCTTCTTCTTTTTTTTTTTTTAATCCTCACTAAGGACTCCTTGTGAGAAACATCAATCTATTGCCTCTTGTACACGCCCTGACTGGGACCAAACCTGCAACCTATGTATATACCCTGACCCTAGGTATGTGCCTGACAGGGAATCTACCACTCAACCTTTCAGTTTATGGGGTGACCTCCAAGCAACTAAGCCACACTAGCCAGGTGTGTGACTTGTAATTGTGCAAATATCGCAGCATAAAGATGGTCCTTTCTTAATATTTTGTTTGGGGCATGACAGCACAGAACTTGATCTTAACCTCTAGACTGCCTTCAGCTGGTGTACCTGCCAACTCCATTATGGTGACTCGTAGCCCCAGTGTCCTGACTGGTCATGATGAACCAGATTATGACCTAGATTTTTTTCTGTATACCTAAGCATTACGCTAAGGTTTTGGGAAAGGTGTTTATTCCTCAAGGACTAATTATGGACAGGACTGAATGGCTTGCTCGAGATGTGATGAAGGAGATGGGAGGCCATCACATTTGTAACCCTCTGTGTGCTCAAGGGGAGGCTATAAATTCTTTGCTCATCTGCTGGATTACATCAAAGCTTGGAACAGAAATAGTGATAGATCCATTCATATGGCAAAATCTATGAGTGTAGATTTTATCAGACTAAAGAGCTACTGTAATGACCAATAGATAGGGGACATAAAAGTAATTGGTGGAGGCCCTGGCTGGTGTAGCGCAGTGGATTGAGCACAGGCTGTGAACCAAAGGGTCACAGGTTTGATTCCCAGTCAAGGTACATGCCTGGGTTGCAGGCCAGGTCCCCAGTGGGGGCCATATGAGAGGCAACCACATATTGATGTATCTCCCTCTCCCTCCCTCCCTTCCCCTCTCTAAAAATAAATAAATAAAATCTTTTTTTAAAAAAGTAATTGGTGGAGATGATCTCCCAACTCTAACTGGAAAGGATGTCTTGATTGTTGAAGATATAATGGACACTGGCAAGACAATGCAAACCTTGCTTTCCTTGGTCAAGAGGTATAATTCAAAGGTGGTGAAGGTCACAAATTTGCTGGTAAAAAGGACCCCTTGAAGTGTTGGATATAGACCAGACTTTGTTGGATTTGAAATTCCAGACAAGTTTGTTGTAGGATATGCCCTTGACTACAATGAATACTTCAGGGGTTTGCATCATGTTTGTGTTTTTAGTGAAACTGGAAGAGCAAAATACAAAGCCTAAAATGAGAGTTCAAGTGGAGTTTGGAAACATCTGGAATCCTATTGAAATCACCAGTAAAGTTATTGAATGTTCTAGGTCTGTGGCTAGCTGCTTAGTGGAGTTTATTGCATGTATCTTCTAAGAATTTTATCTGTTTTGTATTTTAGAAATGTCAGTTGCTACATTCTTGAGCTCTTTATTTGTACTATGAGCCTAAAGACTATCAGTTCCCTTTGGGTGGATTGTTATTTGACATGTGAATGAAAAATCTCTTAAGCTACACCACTGTTGAATGAGAACTTTGAAATTGTATCTGTAAGAAACATTTAAAAAGAAGATATATTAGTTTTTAATCGGTATTTTAATTTTTATATATTCAGGAAAGTACAGAAGTGATTGAATATTGTTCATTATATCACTGCGTGTTGAGAGCAGTAAAAAGCAGTCAGGTTTTGTATCAATGACAGCATCTAAGAGGTACTGTTACAGCATATAAACCATATGTCCTGGAATTATTTTAGTAGTGTTTCAGTATTATTAACTGTATTTTCCTGCTTGTTCAGTTTATTTTCAGTGATTCTTTGTTAATAGTTCCCTTCAAATACAAATCAATAAATTAAGAAAAAATTTTAGCCCTGGCTGGTGTAGCTCGGTGGATTGAGCTCGGGCTGCGAACCAAAGTGTCGCAGGTTCGATTCCCAGTCAGGGTACATGCCTGGGTTGCAGGCCATGACCCCCAGCAACCGCACATTGATGTTTCTCTCTCTCTCTCTCTTTCTCCCTCCCTTCCCTCTCTAAAAATAAATAAACAAAAAATCTTAAAAAAAAAAAAAGAAAAAACTTAAAAAAAAAAACTTGATCTTAACCTCTAGTTTGCTTGTTTGAGAAGAGGAAGGTTTTGTGTTCAGGGACCATCAGGGTGAACAGGACAATTTTGCACACAATCAAGAAACACCAGCTGGAAAACTCGACGTTTAAAACAAAAATATGTTTTTATATTTCAAAAGGTTAAACATATATGCTTTAACATAATATGCTTTTCATTCACTTTGCAAAACCTCTCTCAGTCTGACTAGCTCATGGACTTTCTGTGTGAATTAATTCCCCTTTCATCATTTTGTTCTCAAGTCATTTGCAGCAAAATGTCATTGAGTTAATTCATCACCACCAGCACCAAGAATATTATTCTAAGGGGGGTTGAGGCAGAGTGGAGGTGGGCAAAGAGAGAAAAAGTGGGGACAATTGTAATAGCGTAAACAATAAAAAAATAAAGAAAAAGAGAAGAACATTTTTCTATCTTATAGTTTGTAGAGAAGAGGCCACAGCAAAAGCAAGAGCCTGAAAAAGAGAAAGTGATAGATATTATACTTAGAGAATTTGGCTGAAAATTATATATATTGCCAGTGTAAGATTTTTATGTTTAAGTATGGCTTTTATTAAAAGAAAATGCTCTTTTATTTTATCCTCACCTGAGGACATGCATATTGATTTTAGAGAGAGGGAAACAGAAGGGGGGAGAGAGGGAGAGAAACACTGATGTTAGAGAGAAATATTGATAGGCTGCCTCTCTCACCAGATCTGACAGGGCACTGTATCTGCAACCCAGGCATTTGCCCTGACCAGGAATCGAACCTATGACCTCCTGGTTTACTGGCCAATACCCCAACCAACTGAGCCACCACTGGCCAAAGCAAGAAAATGCTATTTTTGATACTTCCATTTTAATTTCATGTTCTACTTTAAAAGTATGTATTTTAATTGTTTTTCTAAAGACTTTAAGACTGACTTACATTTTTTGTATTATTTATGAATCTAACAAAATTTTAATTGCCTTCAATTTTTCCATTAATCCTGAGTTAAATTTAAGTTGAACAAACTAAACTCATTTCAAAAAAGCAGTCGTCCCACTCATCTTAGAGAAATTTCCTCAAATTTAGTATACTTTTATCAATTTAACACGTTGTATAATTTTT